CGGTTTTTCATCTTTTTTACCGTAGCTAGCCATCCACTTGACAATTTTTATTGGTAAACACATAAAATGATCGAAAAATCATTCTGCTTTGCACATAAAACAGAGGTAATATTAATAACAGAAGAACTCTTATTGATAAAAAGAATTTGTGAATTTAAATCTTTACCTGGACTCTCCGTACAAGAAAGTTCGCGCATTTTGAATTCAGGAAAATTAAGGTTAGCAACTGACTCTATGGATTAGTGACTCATAATCCCGAGATTTCCTTACGGGCAAAAGGAACTGGTCAACACCTCCTAAAATCACCCAAATGTGAGTATAAAAGGGAAATGTTAAAGCCATTGAAGACATTCAGTCTCTTCTCAACTATTTCAAGTCCACCTGATTTTGAACGAATTGTTTGTGTCAATTACTTCCTCTGTTCCAAAATGTCAAAATTATTAAGTTTCATTATTTTGTGTTTCTATTTTCAGTGTACCCTTGGTTTCCATTTGGAGAAAACAAAAGGGAAACATGTAATTTCCGCCTCAACAGCTGAAGGAATCAAGAAAAAGTCCGAAGTGGCTGGTTTGGTGTCTGGTACTTCACTCGGTGTCGCCAAAGCAGCATTGAAGAAGCCTATTTTTATTGAAAAGACGATTGTTTCTTTTAAAAAAGTAACCCCCGAAAAACCCAAATACAAGGTGATTTGGGTCGAACAAAAAGTGCCAATCATGACTCAAGAGCCAGCAACTCCTATGGAACTCTACAAAAAAGAAACAAAGGTACATGTTAAAAAAACAAATATGTTAAAATTAAGTGTTAAACCTTATTTCAAAGGCTATTTTAAAGGTAAAACCTTTGGGAAAATTTTAGGTTAATTGTGAATAAATTTCGTACAAAAAATTATAGTCAAATAAATTTGCTTTCTTATAACATTACTTTACATTGTTAATCATTGTTTTCTCATTATACTATACAGTATTTTGAGACTAACCGGAATCAAAAGACGAGTATTTTTATGCATTTCTATTCCTAGTATTTACACTGCTATTATTATAATTTAATCATGTCTTAATTTTCAGATATTTTGAGAATCATTGCTATTACAACTTGTTTATAAAAAATTTGTCCCAATACAAGGCCATACCGGAAAACATTTGTAGGTAACATTCGAGAAAAGGATGAGCCAGTATCAAGAAGAAGAGCAAATATCAAACTGCAAATTTGAAATATTCAATTTTTCAGTTGTCAGGGGAATTCTTACTTGCAAAATTGTCCTCTTTTAAACCAGTTGTTAGGTCTACATCCTTAAGTTTGTCATAACATCATCAGCTGCGTATTGGCCCATTGAACCAGGCTCATGAGTTTCAATATGTATTTGCTCGGGTCCATAGGAAACATTATATTTGAAACCAATCTCTTTGGGGTCACCTCTTACTTCATCGCTAAACCTTACCCTGCAATTGGTTATGCGGTACCTTTTGAACAGTTTAAAAAACATTTTATAAGTTACAATAAGGAAAGGAGATATAAGGAAATATCAAAGTAAAATATGTGAAATAGAAGAACATTCCAAACTGAAAATTAACACAATATTTCAACAATTATCATCTAACAATTAATTAACAAAAGATGATTAATAAAACAAACAAAACAAAAATTTAAGACAATGAAACCTGACTCGATGGAAAAATTTCACATGCACTTGCAAAACCAAAATCTAGGGTCTCTCTAACTTGATAGGATAATGTAATGGGTTAATTTGATCAACCAATCACATAACTCCTATCAGATTCTACTGGATCCAAAGAGTCGAGACGCTTCTTTACCCTTATTAATTACTTTAGTTTAGTTTAGGGCTTTGTTTAGAGCTTTCTTAAGCTAAAATGCTTCTTTTATTTTTTTTAAACCTTTTTTTATATAAAAATTTTAAAAACAATGTTCACAATTTTTTAATTGTGAACATTGTTTTATTATCGTCTATGCCATCAGCGCATAGTGACCCTTGCGTTGATGGCATCTACGATTCCATCTCGTGTGACCATGAAAATAAACTCATGGTCACATACAACAATCTTATTTTTTATGGTGACTGTTCTTCTTACCCTTTTCATGTTAATCAAAATTATCAGGTTTTAATTGATAAATATGTTAAAATAATTGCATCAGTTACTGATGGCCATGGATTCCAATATTTTTTTCAGGTAAGTTTTTTCTAATTTTAAATATAATAAAAACTAACACCTAATATCTTAATTTTTTTGCAGGAACAAAGTGTTATCCTTGTGTCCAAAAATAAGAGATTTGAAAAGCCCATCAGTGAAATTTTCTCTCCATTCAGTGGAATTATTGAACATGCTATTGGTTTGAAAGATAGAGAATCTAAATTGTTTTTCGGGTCTGATTTTACCATTCAACTTTACACTAAAGACCACCTTGCCAATGAACGCCGTGTCTATAGTTATGATGTGGTAAAAATATCCAATGGTTTGCCTTTTTGGAGTGAAACTCGAGTTCTGAAGCCACTAAATCATTCGATTGGAAAAACCTCGACGCTTGTTCATTTGCTATCCGTCCAAAAGGAGTATATAACTGCTATTCTTGGTTCATCTTCGGGTCCGATTTACTCCAAAGCTGGACTTTATACTTGCATTGATCTAGTTTATGTAAGAAAACACTTACTTTCATCTATTGTTCTTCTGTTATCGTTCTCTCTTCATTTTAATATCATTTCAGCAATATAACCTAGTGGACTGCCTAGAAGAAAATGAGCAAATTTATGAGAAAATGCAACTTGGTTATCTTTTTAAATGTCAATCCAAGCATAAATATCGTGAGTATATTTCATGTACCCTAACATTTCACTCTCAATGTTGTGTTATAAATTTTCTTTTCTGTTTATTTTTCATAGCATTTGATCTATTGACTGTGATGCTTTGGTTTTCGCTTGGCTTAACAATCCTTTCCTTATTAGGACTTATGAAATGTTTGATATTTAAACTGTTCAAAAGGTACCGCATAACCAATCGGAGGGTAAGGTTTAGCGATGAAGTAAGAGGTGACCCCAAAGAGATTGGTTTCAAATATAATGTTTCCTATGGACCCGAGCAAATACATATCGAAAAACCTGAACCTACTTCAATGGGCCAATACGCAGCTGAAGATGTCAACGACGATTACAAGGATGTGAACCTTTCAATAGATTTGAAAGAGGAAAATTTTGCGAGTAAAAATTTCACCGAAAACTGAAAATTTTAAGTTTGATAATTTCAGTTGTAAAATTGATGATAACTCTAACTCTAACTGTGAGAAATACTCTTCTTCTTGATACTGGATCATCCTTTTCTCGATTGTTACCTGCTAATGTTTTCAAGCATGGCCTTGTATTGGGACAAAAATTTTTATAAACAAATTGTAATAGCAATGGTTTACAAAATATCTGAAAATTAAGAAATAAGCAATGTAAATAGTAATGCTCGTCTTTTTGATACCGTTTCAGCTCAAAATATAATAAGATAAAAACAATGTAAATTTATAATAAAGAAAATTATTTATTGAATATAATTTTAAATACAAGTTTGTTGGAGTTAATACAATTAACCTAAAATTTTTCCAAAGGTTTTACCTTTAAAATAGCCTTTGAAATAAGGCTTAACACTTAATTTTAACATATTTGTTTTTTTAACATGTACCTTTGTTTCTTTTTTGTAGAGTTCCATAGGAGTTGCTGGCTCTTGAGTCATGATTGGCACTTTTTGTTCGACCCAAATCACCTTGTATTTGGGTTTTTCGGGGGTTACTTTTTTAAAAGAAACAATCGTCTTTTCAATAAAAATAGGCTTCTTCAATGCTGCTTTGGCGACACCGAGTGAAGTACCAGACACCAAACCAGCCACTTCGGACTTTTTCTTGATTCCTTCAGCTGTTGAGGCGGAAATTACATGTTTCCCTTTTGTTTTCTCCAAATGGAAACCAAGGGTACACTGAAAATAGAAACACAAAATAATGAAACTTAATAATTTTGACATTTTGGAACAGAGGAAGTAATTGACACAAACAATTCGTTCAAAATCAGGTGGACTTGAAATAGTTGAGAAGAGACTGAATGTCTTCAATGGCTTTAACATTTCCCTTTTATACTCACATTTGGGTGATTTTAGGAGGTGTTGACCAGTTCCTTTTGCCCGTAAGGAAATCTCGGGATTATGAGTCACTAATCCATAGAGTCAGTTGCTAACCTTAATTTTCCTGAATTCAAAATTGGTGAAGCTTATTGAATGGGAAGTCCATAAACTACCATTATTATTAACTCAACGCTATTCTCACAGAATTCGATGGTCGTAAGATATTCTCTTTTACTTCTGTTCTGTTTTTAAAACAACCGAAATAAACAGAGTTTTTTCACCTAAAAATTGTCAAGTGGATGGCTAGCTACGGTAAAAAAGATTGAAAAAGTGAGGAATTTGTGAAAAATCATGTCCATAATTCCTAAGCAATCAGAGAAACTACTTTCGAAACTTATGCCCATTGAACATTGTCCAATCCATCCCTAGTTCAAGTGACTATCTCTCTACTGTATCATGATATGAACTCAAATGTTATCCTAAAATGGATCATTTTTCAATTTATGCAAAGTTTAGACTTTGTTCAGTCAATTGATACTTCAGCAAGTACAACTGTTTTCAATTAAAATCAATCAAACAATTTAGGCTTTGTTAATGATCTTTGTTACTTGACTCTGTAAAACATTGTGTTGAATCCAGTTTAAGGAGGCATTTCATACAGTATTGATGAAACAATCAAGATCTAATATCTACTAATTACTTCTTAACAGGAAAGTGAAGCGAAGCAAGGCTTGGAGTTGATCCAAATGGTTATGAAATATGATCGAGACATGACTTCAATCAACTTCAAACACTTTCCAATAACACTATTTCATGTTCTAGTTGTATTGATATTATTTTTTTCTCAACGTGTATACAACGTCGGTACAGTCGCCTAAAAACTGTCCTTAATTAGTCTGAGCAAAGCGAAGACTAAGCTCTACAAGAATAAATCTAATTATTTTGACTTCATTAATATATTTTACCAAAATTTCATCTCTGTTTCAAATTGCGTCTCTGTTTGTGTATCTGCAAGTATTTGTGTAATCTTTGAAATATGCCTTCATGTGCTCCTTTCTACAAATATGGTCTACTCATTTCGACTGTGCTCAACCATTTCGTATATTCAACTATCACTCCATCACTACCAAATCTATCTGCACTCTCATCATATGGCGTCTCTTCAGTGTCATTAGATTGTTCATCACACATCAATATGATTGCTAAACATTGCCATTCCAAAGTTAAAAAGATTGATTTTTTGGACTCCATGAAAAGTCAATGTTGTAAGACAATGATACTGAAACAGTGTCTTCTTGATTCTCATGTTGCTAATTGTAGTTCTCCTTCATCAAAATTGAATAAACTCTCTGCCTTCCTAACATACAACTGTCCAGATTATACAAATTTAAATAAATGCCAACAGTTTCTCAGTGCGAAAACAATATATGCATCATCAATCTGCGTTGCGATCATATTGTTATCCTTTTGTCTCTGCAAGTGTCGTCGTACTGTATCTATTAGCAATAATCATATTCCAACTAGTAAATCAATTTGTGAATTGACCGATTTCAAGATTTCACCGACAATTGAAAACCTGAATGATGAAATTTCAGTTGAAAAAGTTAACGATGTCAAGTGTGAAATGAAATGCACGTCTTGTTGATATTGGCTCAGCTGTTCCTTAATGTTGCTGTCAAATGGTTTCCAGCATGGCCGTACAATGAGATATAATTTCAATAAACAAATTGTAATAGCAATCACTCACAAAATATCTGAAAATTAAGATACAAGCAATGTAAATAGAAATGCTGTCTTTTTGATATCGGTTCAGCTCAAAATTCATTATCATTATGTAAATTTATAATAAAATTTTTTATTGATTTCACAGAAAAGGGTTCCATAATGTTATGAAAATTTTGATAAGTCTCCCTGATAAGAACCATAACTCATTAAAATCTCGTTAACTAGTCATGTTGACTAGAAACTATGATTATTTTGAGTTAAAGGTTTGATCAAAAGATGGAGCCCTGAGCTCACACATAAAGGCAAGAGCCAAAAAAGTCTGTCTTGGACCAACGCAACCTGAGTGTGAACTGGAAGAACTGAATCGCGTCTTTACAGTTTTTTGGCTCGTCATCTCTCTTCTTATCCTACTCTCTGGCCAAAACAAAAAAGCCAAATTTAAAATGGCTTAAAGTTTTAAGTCTTCAAATACAAAATAGATAACCAAGTCTAAAAAGCGATTTACTCAAACTAAGATTTTGAGTGATTTTAGGAGATGTTGACCTCTTGTTTAATCGAAAGATATCTTTTAAGAGTATAGTCGGTCAAATTTACATGTAAACTAACAAGAGAAAGCTGAAATTTTGGTAACAATGATCAAGTAAACAACAGGTTAGTTGTTCTTTAAATCTTTTATTGTGTGTTGTATCCAATATTGAATAAAAAACACATTTTCACTTCTTTTATTCATTAATGACTAATAAAAGATCTGACTTGTATCTTCACTTTTACCAGGTTTATATCAAATAACGTTGGATTTGTATGAATAATAAAATGGAGAAGAAAAGGAGAAACAACATGCTGAGATATCATACAAGATTATAAAGTTGAGACAAGGTCGATCAACGTTTTGGTGTTCATGTTGCCTGGTTTTTTCATATTCATGATTCATCATAAGGGAATGCAATTTGGAGAGATAAAAGAAATGTGAAAGAAAAGAAAGTACATCAATGAAATTGATTATCATCATCATCACCCTGACCATCAACATCATAAACACTGGTTCACTATAAATGGCCATTTTGAATGGAGCGTGTTCATTGATTCCCAAATAACTCCAGAATTCCATCCATTGGACAATTGAGCTTTTCATTTGTATCAAAAATGATCAAGTTTATCTTGAACATAGATTTTCGCTATTTATGGCATAAAGAAACAGTCTTCACCATTCACATGAACCTGTAAATAATTTTAGCCGAACTACAATCACAATCTCAATCACAAATCAAGATAAATTCAAATTTAATGGTGAACCTGATAACAATAACATCATCATCATCATAAACAAGAGAAACATACAACAAGAAAGTAAAATCTTTTCATCTACCGAAGGGAACATTATGGATTTTGAATATAAAAATGATCTGATTATTAAACATAATCTGTGGTTTGAAATGAGCTTGGGCGTACAGAAACACGCTTATTGGGTTGGGCATTTGATTGCCACAGTTCGTAATTCAATGTGTCCACCATCACCATTGAGATGAAGTCAACAAGCGAAGCAGAAACACACATAAAGGAAATCAAGCTAAAAGAGTGAGGTGGGTTAAACACGACAAACCGATCCTTCGGTCTGATTACCTGATTCCGTATTATCATGGCTGCATAGCTGGTGAATAAACCGTGACCACAGGGCGAGTCACGATGTTGATAAGTCAACTAAAGGAAATAAGCTCGTGCAGAGGAAAGTGAAAAAAGGTCAATTATGACAACCTTTTATTTTTAGCCTTAATGTGAAGCCAGTCAAGACCATGGATCCAGGGTGATGTTTCTCTTGATTGAAATAATAAGATGAAAGCAAATGATGACGATGGTGATGTTGATGATAATGAGGAGGAAAACAGTTTTGGTGATAAGGAGATGGGAAACATTATGATGAAGACGAAAGTTACTTTTTCTGATAAATGTCACGAATATTAGATTGAATTTGATATAAAAAAATATGAAAGGAAAGGGAGTGGAGTTGAAATATAAATTTGAAAGTGAAAATATTAGTAGGAAAAAAAATCTATTCAAACCAAAATTTCTTTACTTTCTCCATGTTAATATATTTTTCCCTTCTCTTCATCATCATCATCATCATGAAATCATTTACCTTTTTTTTTACAAGAAACAATTTATTCTATTTACCTTTATTTACCTAACATTAATCTTATTTTACTTTCCATTTTATTAATTCATCCAGCTGAACAACAGTCAATTACTGGGCCAAAATTCATAATTTGTTTCATTACAAATTGATGTCAACCATGAATGACTTACCAAAAGTCTGACATAAACTGGTAAGTTGCTAATAATTTAAAACAACTCTATTAACTAAACAAGTCAATACCAATTTTTCAATACTAATCATTTTTAATATTTCAGCAATTTAATGGCAAACAAACAGCATGACTTTACGGTGGACTAATTAAAAAATATTACAACCAAATTCATCATATGTGAATAGTTATGTGGTGAGGCAGAAACACTATAAAGATGTCACCTTACAAGCAATGGAAACAACTAATTGGTTCATTTTTCATGATAAATTGCACTTTTTTACCTTCTTCTTCTTCCAAATCTTCACCTTGAACACTCTCTCCAACCAATTTGATGTATAAAAAATATGTAATCTTCACAGTTAATTTAATCATCATTTAAATCATTTTACATCAAGTCAATTGTAAAGGTAAGAAAAAGGAGCAAAATTAAACGGCTAATGACCATTTTATTTCCTTGGTTAGCTTTCACACACACACAAGACACACTTTTGATTAATGTACATATTGGTTAACCTTAATCATGTTAACAACATTCAATCTTTAACAGTTAACTAATTACGAGCACTTCTTAATAGCTTGACTGGAAACAAAATAAGTTAATTTTGATAAATTATTGTCACTACCATTTTATATCATCAACAATTTACTTTCCAAGGAATACATTAATTCTCATAAGATTGTTAGACAAGTGTTGCCATAAAAACTGTTAGATGTATCTATTATAATTAACTATAACAAACTGACTGTTTAAATTGATTGTTATAAATCATCACTTGCCTTCTTTCACTGACTCGATTACTTTTGATACCTTGTTTGCTACCTTAATTGTTTCACCTTTCAATCAAATTGATCCAAATATCAATTTCACTTGTAAAACCTTTCATTGATTTAATCTATCACCAAATAGACCATTAGTTGCCATTAAAATGAATGGTTAATAGGTAAGGTTATAGCAAACAAATGAAGGCAACTGGTTAACTTGATTACAAGTTGACTATTAAAATGAATATTTTAATATGCAAAAATAGTAATCTTATTAACCATTGTTACCATCCAGTAAATCATCAATTCAATACATTTTTACATCTATTCACTTGACAATGATTTGATTAACTTGAATCTAAATACAAATCTTTAACTTTCATCGCTCAAATATTAGTACAAATAAGACTAATTTAATTTTCTTTGTTTGCTCTTGGGTTAATTTAGGTTTCCCAGGTTACTTGTAACAAATAATGGTAACATGAAAAGGTAAATTACTGGAAATAACGATTAACTAAAATTATATTAATTCAGATCTCTGTTTACCTGTTATTCATTCATTATTAACATGATCTTACGTGATTAAAATACAACCTTAACTGTCTTGAAAAACAACAATTTGATCGATATTTGTGGACAAAGTAAAGTTTACTGATCCTGAACAGCCTGGGAAATGTCTTCTTTTCAGATTAACTTTTATTTTATTCATAATAACAATCAAACTGTACAAGTTATTATGATAAAAGCTATTATTATTACCATGATTATTGAGTCCTAATTTTGGTCAATCATGGGGAGACCAAATATAAATGAATACACAGACCATTGTAAAGGTTGATTGACGACTGATTTTCAATAATTAGTCTAATATCAAATGAATTATCATATGTTTTGCATGGTTAACCATAAATGTATACTTAATCATCAATGGTAACCTAACATAAAAACCTAACGACTCAAATTTACACATTAAACAAAAAAAAGCTTATAATAGTAGAAGTAAAATTAGACTTTCAACAAAAAAAGTCCAATAATTAGTAAGTTGATAAAGTATGCAATTAAAATGGGCCTCATTTCATTCCCCAAATTATCACCAATCCACGGTCAGTTTCAATGTGTAACACATGTTGATATTGGCCATAAAAATGTTCAAAATCCAATTGACTGGCTCCATTGAGAATGAATTTATTTCTGTTGGAATTTTTCTTCTCTGGTTAATTGTTTGCATAACTGTTTAACGGCAACAACTTTGAAATATTAAGCATTTGATCAAGTTGGTGGCAAATCATAAAAGTAATGGTGATTGTTAAAAAGTGAACCTTTTTTTAAATGGTTAACCAATGATTAACTATTGGTCCGTAAAAGGTTTGACTTGACGGTTTAATGGCCAACAAGTTGAGTTAATTACTTGCAGTGGATGGTTGTGTAAATTAGATAAATAATCAAGCAAACAAAAAGCATAATCATCTTGATGTTGCTGTATATTGATGTGTGTGTATATATGATAATAATGGAACCATTTTGAGCTTTAACCATTATCGATTTCCATTCCAATAGTTGTTGTATGTAATAGAGTTATACCACTTTGAATGGTTTGAAAGGTAATTGAGCTTTATTTAAATCCAACTCCCAAATGATAGTTTATCATTTATCATGGATTTAACTTTCATCGTGACAATAGTAACAGAGTTTACTTGAGCATTTAAGATTTTCGATGGAATCAAATCATTCTTGTTCTTTCACAGGTCCAGTTAATTAAGTAGGCTTGAAGATGAGTCTGAAAAGATAAAAAAAGGGCAAAAGATATAATTATTATGGAAACATATCATTACATATTCAAAAAGATCATTCTCTGGTATTAAAGAGTTTACATCAAACACTTAGTGCTGATTAATTATGCACATTTAATCTCGTTTCTATATTCACTTCACAATCTTAAATTTAACTGTTATTATTAAATTTAACCTATACCTAGTTGCTATTTTTGTTATTGTTATTGGACTCGTGAGAAGTTATCAATTTTCAATGTAAAAAGCACCTTTGAGTGAAATGAAAAGGTAAATCGAGAAAAAAGTAATGATAAAAATCATTCAATTTCATGGTGAAATTGCATTTTCCACCTTCCATATTTCTCTAAACCATACAAGTTGCATATGTTGAGATGAACATCGACTGAGTTTTGCTTGAAATTGTTTTTCTCGTTGATTATAAACAGTATAACAGCAACATTAATCTCATTTGCCATTCCTCGATTATCCATCTTGATTCACAAAATTAAATTTTTTTAAACACCAACAATTTGTCACAAAATAAACAATCAACTGGTTCAGCATTCCAATAAATTAACGCCATCTTTCAATTTTGCGCTAAGCCTCTTCAACTCAAGGGGTCTTTGTCTCATTACGAGCGTGATGTTGGCTTTCAAATCAATGGTAATCTGTAATCAACCAAAAGAGAGTGAATTAATTCAGAGTTAAAACTTTCAACGATTAAATGACCTTTTTGAATGATTGGCTTAATTTGAACGTTTGTTTTACAAATCATGAGTTAACATTCACACATATTCACGATATTTTAGTGACCATTTAAAAACACGTTTGACGCTTCTAGGCAATCTAATTGAATAATGAAAGCTTAACTTGTTTCATAATAAACAAACAGCTCTCGTCAGCGTGATTATCATAACAAACAACACTGAGATAAACATTTGAGTTTAAAGATAGAGGTGAACACCATAATCTGAATCGTTGGAATTAAAAGCAATTGCTAATCGCCTAATCATGATTTCCAATTCCCTTTGGTTCATCAACATAACATTTTGATTGGCATATTTTGCATTCAGCTAATAACAGCGTCACCCTGAACTTTGCCATTTTTATCATTATTCTCATCATATTTTTAGTTCCATGGTAATACCAATTTTTCCTTCTCCTAACTGAATGTCAGTCAAAAATCATTGCTCCAAAGTTATCCAACCAATCCATCAAAATCACGTAATTTTAAGACATTTTCTGCTTTTCAATCCCATCTTCAAACCTAAGTCTTATTCATTATTTTCAATTATATTGCCTTTCATCGGAACCACTAAATTATCATAATTCTTGAAAAATCACTAATCACTTCTGTTTCCAATATTTAAACAAATAATGGGAGACTGATGATAGCTTGTGATTTGAATAAGTACCAAGTTTGATGATTATATAATGAGACTGCATTGGATTATAATTTGACTAAGGCCAATCAATCTGAACGAATAGTCTTTTCCATGATGCTTCTGTCAACACAATGAGAAAATTAATTAACAATTAGTCAATCAAATCAACATTTCTTGTCAGTGAATTGGTCAACAATTCAACTTGAAGCTTTACAGCGATTTATTAATATTTACCTTGATTATTTTACCATTCTGAGGAGATTCACTCAAAATGAATTTGCAATATTGAGGTTGCCAGTTTTAAATTAACTTTGACCACAAACAAAAAATTAAATTGAAAATCGATTGCATGAATCCTTGACTGAACAAAGTGTTGATGGTTCCTGAAACGAAGAGAGAAAAATTTAAATTTTAGTTTTTTTTGCTATTAAAAGGTAAATTTTTTGGAGGTTAATGGAAAAATTTTCAACTATTTAGAGATGAAAGGTTTAATCGTGTAAAGTTGATGAAAAAAAGGAGCTATTTAATGATAAATAAGCTGGAGTTGGTGAATGGATGATATTATTAATAACTGTAAGATTTAGGTTTAACAAGGTTCAATAAGGATAATCAACCTTTGACTCGGTAAACCTGATATTACTTACAATTTACAATTTGTTGCCATCTCAATTACACATGTACATATTTCAGGTACATGTTAAGTATTTGGAAGATTTGTTTCTGAACTTTGATGAAAATTGATCAACACGAAATAACCATTAACCACCACCAAGCATTTTGTACACATCACAATGGACAGTTTTAATTTTTCCAGTTCCTTTTGCAGTTTGTATTGTATAATAAATGGCTCAACTTTTTGCTGCTAGTTAATATAGATGTATTTAAAAAAAATACATTAATATATCAATAGACGAAGACAGATCTATTATAATTCTGGGTAAATCATTCAGATTCATTCTGATCACGATCCATTCATATCAAAGAGTGTCCAATGGAATGGCCAATCGGTGAAGAAAGTTCCTAAATTGTCCATTAAACTGTAGTTTGGTACAAAAAAAACAGAACTAAATATATTTTTTGAAATACATAAAGCCTGTTGTTTGAAAGACAGTTGTGAGATGTAAAAAAAGTCAAGTTTTCCCTTTATTCTTTGCCTTTTTTATCACCAGCAAAAATTGGATAACGGTCAAGGTAAATGATAACGGAATTGTCCTTCTTTCAAATTGTTGCCAAGCATGTTAATTTGTCCATTAAACTTCACTGATTGACCTTAGTACTTTCTTTAGCAACACAATCATTATCCTTTTATATCTTGGGTTATTGGTTGTTGAGTATACAGTTGTGTAGAGATTTGGGTAATAATGATGAACAGGAATTGTTATTAACTTTTGTAATGGTATTAAACATAGTTGTTGAGTCTTGATTAATGTTTAATGAAAACTAGTTAAAATGATGAGGCCATTCCGGTTTCCCATGTAAGAAGGTGATAAATATGGCTGAAAGACGTTTGATGCTCCATCAGAGATTCCAAGCAATTAAATTGCAAGTGTACGTTTTTTTCTTGTTCATCATCACAACAGGAACGAAGAAAAATAACAAATTAATTCACTTTGAATGAGCAATTAAACTATCAAGTTTAAAATTGAAGTAAACATCATGATTGATAATTTAGAGGATAACGGATAATGTTCACACTTATCACAAAAGCACTGTTTTCAAAAATTGAATGGCATTAAAATTAATTAAAGCAATTTCTATTAAAAAAAATACTCAAACGATGGTAACAAAATTACCTAATTTAATCTAATTTATTAGCTAAATTAATCTTCAAACAAATGTATTAATTGTCAATTAAACAAGTTAAAAGTCAGCTGTTTGTATTATAAATTCAAAATGTGCGTTTGTTGTCATGACAGTTGAGTCACTTTTTAATATCCGTTGTTTTTTATTCCAACTTTTGTATTCCAGTGCTTTTAAATCAACCCTGTTAATTATTTACTCACTCAATGATGGTTTGGTTAATGAGTTGTTAATAAATTAACCATCAAATTCGTGTCATTAATAAAGAAGGACAAAGTGGAAAAGGTAAGAAATAATGAAATTAATTTAATTTCAACTTTAACTTGTCAGGTTTGCCATCTTTTTTTATGGTTTTCATAATGGAAAAAGTTAAGAAGCAATTTCATTTCATTTTGTTAATACTTTTACACCAAATTTTTCAGATTACCAATGGAAAAATATGCCTCAAATGACTATAAATCTAAAGGATGATAATGGAAAATTCCTAGGCAACACTAAATCACTCTATTTCCAGCTCTGTACGAGGTATGAACATAATCTGAAGATTTGGAGAGACAAGGGTAAGCAAGACAAAAAAGATAAGAAAGAGGTTAATCAATGTTCATTTTTGCTCTCCTCTTTACATCGATTAACTGGTTGTACTAAGCTTTACCTTTAATCTTTTTTTTCAGTTAACAAAAGACCCCTAAGTGGATCCAACACTTGTCCAAAGTAGCCCAAAGGGAATGGTAGCTACAAGGGGACGCCAAGCAACCCAGAGACAGAAGGAAAAGACCTTCACTAGATGGAAAAAAAGATTTATGGATTTAGTTCATTATCATGGTCATTATTTCAAGAACGAAAAGAAAGTTACTTGCTTTGTTCCATTATTGTTATCATTACTGGACCTATCGTGGACCAAAATCTGACATCTCAATCTACCTAAAGGTCATAAAAATGGGAAAAAGATCCTGTCGTCCTGGTTTTGGTCCTCTTTTTGTTACAAAAATTTCGCAGGCTTTGTTTAATGGAACATTCACGAACTCAATATTTTCCAAAGTTAATTAACTCTATTGTAATGGACACGATTTACAGAAGGAGAGAGATTTAAAATAACAACGATCCAGGCAAAGATTGTCCGTTTGATTGACTCGCTGGTTGTATATGAATAGGTTTCTAGTAAATTGAAATCAACTTAACTTACCTCAAAAAAGTTGTACCAATTAAGATGTCAAATACCCAAAGGAGCAAAAAAAAGACCAACTAGATCCCTGACTTGGCCAATTTTTGGTGTCCACTGTTATTTAAACAAGTGACCCCAATATTTCTCTCTATTTAAGCGTAACTGAAAAACGTAATGATCACTAGAGAGGTTATTGCATGATTAACATTTCAACTAATAACAGCTTATTCAGTTCAATCGTCTGACCGAACGGAAAATAACAGTTGCTATTATATTACATTCAATGAGTTGAAATTTTTTTATGGAGCTTTACATTCCCTTATTACAGAAAAATGATTCATTTTTTCCTTTTTTTGCCTCACAAAAGTAACTTGATCAAGTCTTGACGAGAAACTGATTGATGGTTAGATTGGTTAACCTCTCATTTTGGGAATTTAATACATGTTTGTTTGTCAAAAATTATTTTCTTACATGCAAACAAATTGTATGTTTGCTTATTTACATGACTACATAATACGGTGTATTGGCAAAAGTATATCAATTATATTATAATTTGAAACTTTGAGGTTAATAATGATGATAGGACCTGTCTCATCAAAGGTATCATACAATTTATTGTTGCTCTTTAATGGCCACCCTTCTACCTTCAAAGTGCTACTGGAATTTTATTATTGTTATTAAAATATGATAATAAAATCACCCAGGGTAACCTCATTTAAAAAGGTGGACCAACTGTAAATTTACATAAGCAAAAAGCCAATTTGATGGACAGAATCACCCAATCTGATTGAGGGTATACATCAAATTCAGATTGAATATATTGCTTGATAGCTCACGTTGATTTACATTATTGAATCCAGATTGAGATGAAAACAAAGAAAATATCTCGCTATTAATTATTAATATTCATCTTCTTGCTTTTTAAATGAGATTTCAACCTCTCAGTTGATCCATTCAGCTGACATCAAAACCCGAATGGTGAACAAAAATGATGTCAACTTCAGCCTGACTGTGATTTATTTATTAATTGAACACATTTGGTTTAGACAAATATCAAACAATCATTGAAACAATGGATTGAAATAGTCAATTAAACAAATTGTTGATCATTGTTTCTGTATCGAAATGAAAACAATAATAAACATACTGCGATGTTGATGTTAACTATAAAATTGCTCAAGGCAAATACAAACAGATATCCAACTGTGATTGTTGGTTAAACATTACATTTTACAATTAAAGATTGTTTACACAGAAGTCAAGTTTCATCAGTTAAATCAACGATGTTATTAATCTCCGCTAATTTACCCATCTAATTGTAACAACAAACTTAAAACATGAGCAGTTTTAAAGGAGCAAAATAAAGTATAAGTCAATCATTGAAACCATGAAAAATTGTTGATATTCAATTTGATTGACAGAATCAAATTTATCCCTATTAATATGCCAATGATGGCAGCTTTAAATATATTTTCCAATAAACAGGTAAATTGTTAAATCTAAAGCAAAATCCAATTACGGTTTAAACTAACAGTACAACTATAATAAGACTTGAATCAAATCAAAATTCAATTATTGAATATCTAAATATCGCGCCAGTTGTTGGTTAAGATGATAAAAATATTGATACAAGATATAGATACCGGTGTTTAGATCCTAAATTAATAAGGTAACAAAAAATCTTTGCTTGCAATCGTTTGTTTTCATTTCAATCAACATTATTGTCATTATTAATCAATCTTAATTTATTTCAATTTCATCAACTACTTTATCTGGTTTATATTTTAACACTTTTAGCCTTGTGTGTGTGTGTTATAAAAGATTCAGGATACAAATAAATGTATTAACTAATGATTGAAATTACAAGCATCATCAATTGTGATTTATCTTCAAAAGTATTTCTTATAAAAGCCTTAGGCTGATTGTGTTTTTTAAATAAAGTAAAACAATAAGCTTATTGTTAAAGAATACGCTTCTAATTGTGTTTACTTATGATAACAGTTAAGCGATAAAAGAAAAGCCAAAATTTAATCAGAATCTAATGAAGTTTAATACATCATTTGTTTTCTTAAGACAACATTTTTTTGCTTACTTAGCGAGAGAAATGTAATTGCTGCTGTTAATTTAATAGTCATCATATTAATAATGTTAATACATAATGTAAATTGGAGTTGATACCAACTGATAATTAAATTTTATTTATAGCTTGATTAGTGTTTAACCGGTTGGTTAAGGTAGACCACAAAGAGTGCAAAGGTAAAGGTAATGTATTGGTTCAATGTAAAAGCAGATATTATTTAATGTTGTTGAAGTTGTATTACAAGGTACAACAAAATAGTTAATTGTTTACATAGATGAAACAAGATTGGTAATATTTTTGTTACTACCTTTAATGATTGATAATCAAAACCTAACTCAAAAAATAATAATAGTGATAGTTATAATGATAATTATGATCAAGCGTGAGAGGTGAGATAATGCAAGAGAAACAAAATGATTCCTGTTTGATGATGAAGATGATCGTGATCGAACAGCTATCTTTATCTTTCCAGTTTCTGTGTATCTCAAAATTACGAGATTGAATATTAAATATACAAGAAACAGGAACAAGTGGAGTAAAACAAAACCACCAACAATATAAATGATTACAATCATGACGAGGAACAAGGATTGAAGGTTGCCTCATGTAAAATAAATGAGTACCAATTGTGCCATTGAGCAATTTACAGAGTTTTCAAGCCTGTCTAGCGATATTAGCAAACATTAGTAAAAATTGAAAAAGATTGGATAAATTGTGCTCTTGTCTGGCTGTCCATTTTGCTTGTCCATTGTAATTGTCCTTTTTTTGGGACCCATTTTCATTATCAACGTCATGGTCTTGATTATCGACATCATCACCATCTTTGATTGTTTCTTTCTGATTCGTTAATCATCCATGGTCAAATGATTTCAATTTCTTGGACTTGAATCCTTGCCTTTAAATCCTTTCACTTGAATCTTTACTTGTATCTTGTGTTGGTTGTAATTTAACTTTGAATTTGAAAGCTGTTTTCATCCTTTATCCTCATCATAATCACCATAATCACAATTCAGTATTTCACTTTGATTCCCTTTGATGGCTTAATAGTTTAACATTAGATTGTACATTTAACTGTCCTTCTCATTGCACAAACCATTAACCCTTCACAACCTTTTACAATTTGACAGCAATTTATTAAGTCAAGAAGGAAGCACAACAAGAAGCTTGGGAAGATGCAAGAAGATGATAAACAATATGAAGTTGACTGTGGATAAAGGCAACTCCATTGACTTTATTGATTCAATCATCATCATTCTCATCATTTCCATCATGCTTTTCCGAAACGTTTAGCTAAACTGTTTCTTTCCTCATCTTTCAGTCTTCTTTACAACATTGAAAAAGTGTTTTTTAAGTTATTCAGGAAAGACTATGAAAGCAAGATGGATGAATGTGTAATATATGTATAAAGAGGAAAAAGAAAAGGCAAAATGTAATTTCAATTGAAAAGCTGCAAAAAAAGCGAACCAAAGTTTGCTATTTTACAGATCATTTTTCACCTTTTTTTTCTGTATCATCAATAGACTTGATCTTCAGCAAAAGGATGAAACTTGAAAAGCTATTTCACTATTTTACAATTTTCAAGTTCTCTGTTTTTGCCTCCTTCTTCATCTTATTCATTTTCACCTTACTATCTTTGCATAATATTATGGATTGAGTGATGTTTCAAGGTATAACAATATCTAAATGAAAAGATGAAAATGATGGTCAATGTAAAACTTTAAGTTTACAAAAAGGGCAACATTGTTGTGATATTGAAATTGATATTAAAAAAACAACAACAACATTGAAGTTCACTTTGCTTGTAAAGAAGATTAGTTTCAAGTGTATATTGAACCACTTGAGTTTCCATAATTCATTGTTCCAAATTTTATATATTTTGACAAGTTGTTTGAGATAAATCTTGATTAAAGCTGCGTTTGATCGCTTTCTTCAATCAGCCCAATAAGACGCGTTTCATTTTATTTTCTGGAACAGCCATTTCAAAATTTGAACAATTGTCACTCTGGGAATTTGATTTGCTGCATTTAGGGGAACACAAGTATTGAAGTAAAGGTAAACGATAGGAACCACAAAAGTCCACAAATTTAATTTGTTCAATGCGAGAATCAAAGTAAACACCTGAAAGAAATAAAATAGACAATTAGATGGAATCAATGTAAGGTTTAAATGTATGATGATTGTTATAATGTGATTAGAGTTTAAATGATTTCAATTTTGCTGTCAGATACAGAAAAAAAGAGACCATCAAACAAAACAATCTTCATTTTTTGATCTTTTTTTTCTCAATATTCTTAAAATGGCTTGTTCAATGGATTGTTACCGGCCATTGAAATGGGCCAAAAATACTTACCTTGACATTGAGGGTTAACACAATGTTGAGCTGTTTGAAGGTAACGATGAAGAGGTTGAGGAATCATGTAAGCTGGATAATTGATTCGGTTAATTTTAATACATCGACCAGCCAATTCAAGTAAACTTGGTGGATTGTAAAGATAGTCATTGATGAATCTAACCACCAGAGGATTATTACGAAGGCTCAACTGTAAAGGTATGAAAAGAAATCAATAAATTATTTCAACAATTAAACAGGGAAAGGTGATTCACAATGGTTCAACAAACATTTAACTACACTTTCAATATACAATAGGAAACAGCAATTGAACGTTGGTGAAACCATTTTGACAGCAATTTAATGCACCAAACAGAGTATAGCATTACAAAAACACAATTACACAGAGAGAGAGGAAAAAATCCCAACTGAATTGGATATAAATTAAGGTTTCAACCATTATTATTATCAGCATTATTTCAAGTTTTTATAATGAAAAGTAACTCACAATTTTCAAAGTTGCCTTTCATTTGATTTTGAATCTCTTTTTTTTGCTTGAAATATAAAAAGGCAATCAGATGCTTTTGGAGTCAGTTTGATTGAATAGAAGTGAAAAAGGCTAACAATTAAATCCAAGCTTACAGCCTTTTTAATCAATAGATGTTCATTATTAAATGTTTACATCAATTGATAGCAAGAATGTCAAGAATGTTGGTGACAATGAGCTTACAGGGAAAAAAACATGAAAATTGTAAGCCACAATGTCTATTGTAAATCAATTCAATTTGCTAGCAATGGTCGGTTGAGATTGATTATGATGATGACAAAAAGGCAAACAATTGAATTTCATGTTGAAAAATATCAACATTAAATGAAGTGCAAAGAAAACCATTTTGATAGTAAATTTTGTTGGTCAAATGTGATGAAAAGTTGAACAATTTAGCTTCAGAAATGTTCAAATTCAGTTTTACTTCATTATCTTATCCATATGAAACACAAATGTCTGATCACTGTTCAAGTTAACCATGAATCAGATTAAGTCGCCTAATATTGAAAACAATGTCGCTCAAACATGGCAATGTTAATCATTCTTGACCAACAACAGTTGCAACAAATAGACAAAAATGATGATCAATGGACAATCAGTGTGGATGAATGAAGAAGAATGAATTTCCCATAAGTTAACAATCAATTTAATTTCAATTGCAAGTAACAATTTGAAAATTCAAATTGCCAATCAAAAATTCATTTTCATCTTTTGTCAATCTTTCAATGGTAGTTAAACTGTTTTGAGGTAAAATTGTTGCCTAAAATTGAAAAATTGATTCAATTGAATTTTATTTAAATTGCGTTTGCTTCCAATATTGATCAATTTGTCAATTTTTTTTCAAAAACATGTAATTCTGATTCCATATTATTACATGGTAAATAACTGCTTCATTGTTACGGATTGTTGAATTGCGAGAGTTAATATAATAATAATCAACTGGTGGTTGGAATTGATTTTTTTATCAACTTGAAATCTCACAAGAGTTCAGTGAAGCAATACAGTAAATTAAATGAAGTAAATTGGATAACTATGAATGATTAGGATGATTATGATGATAACTGGTCAAGGTAAATTAGTGTTAAACCCAAATTTGGTTTATTCAAGTACATATTTTGGTTAAAGTTTCATAGCCTACAGGTGATGAGTAAATTGTGGCTAAGGAGGGTCTCCATAAGTCTTCACTTTTTTATCTTTATTAGTTAAGATCTCAACTTATTTTCACTATAGATTCAACTATAAGTATCACGCAACAAAATGTTGTCAATTTTCCTCTGAAATTATCGCTTTTTTAGATTTCCAATGTCAAAGTGCGCAACTTTCAGGCCTTCTGTAGGCCACTTCATGTATTTTATTTTTACATTTCAATCTTATATAGAATACATTTGAGACAATCGATCAAACCTGTTAAAGTTTTCTAACCCACACGGATGCTGAGATACAGTGTTTTTAAATTAATTTTTCAGTTCAACTAGAAACAGAACCCGAATCTTGAAAATGAAAACCAGATCCGATTAAACCTAACTTGAGTTGGTTACACAAAAACAAAACAATTTGTTTTTCTCGTGTTTGTGACCTTTGTGTTTGAGCAAAGCTCAATATTGACTATTCTAGGTTTTGGAAATGCTTTGAGTAAATGAAATTATGAAAAATTTGAAAAACCTTAAATAGTCAATATTGAGCTTTGCTCAAAGGTCATAAACACGAGAAAATCCAATTTCAAAATGACCAAGTGTTAATTTTCATTTACTAAAAGTGTTTTTTCTTTCTATGGAATCGTGTTTTGTTTTCGTGGAACGCAGATTAACCCAAGTGAAGTTTAATCATTTTCAAGATTCGGGTTCTGTTTCTCGTTTAACCGAATCAACGTTTTTGTTGAAGATATGAACTCACTAGTGCTGATAAACTCGGATTGAATTGGACTTTAATGTCCATTTTAAAGTCCATAAGAGAAAATAAGTCACCCGAATCTAACCATTTTTAACATTCCTGTATATCTTTGTCCAATTCAAATCTGACAAACTTTTGGCTAATCTAGTCAGCATCTCTATGATCATGTTTGGATTATTGCATTGGAATTTGTTTTATCATCACTGTCAAAGACAAATATATTGATTTGGAATTGATATTCTTAATGCTTAAGGAGCAGAAAGTGAAAGTGACCTTAATGATACCCATAAAGATCAAGAAATAGACATTGGATGACATTGAAACTTGTGTCTTTGGTATCTGCAATTATAAATTTGGGTCTGAAAATAAAGTCTTCATAATTTCTGATTCAAGATTTCTCCGATTGTTGGGGCTTAAGATGAATGCTTATTTGCTCAGTTATCTCTCATGTTATTGCAAAACAGTTCAAATGATTTATTTAATTTTGATTGGTAAATCATGGAAAGGATTGCAATCAAATAACTGTTCAACATTCAAAGGTAGCAAATGGTGAATATAAGGAAAAATTGCATTAAAATGAATCGTAAGAATTAAAAACAACACTTGAAATTGTCTGATTGAAAAGAAACTGATTGCAATCAAATCCCTGTAAATTGTTAAGTTCAGTACGAACTGATGATATAATAAGTCATGAGTTATTATATCATAATATTATCATATTTGTGACAAATTAATCACCTTGTTTACCCATTATCTTGCCTTCATCTCCATGGGTAAGATTCAAGTGAATCTTAATGATAACTTTTCGTTGTACTGATACAAGTTGTGATTAAATGTTTCAGTGAATAGGTGCATCTATGTACAATTGAATAAATGATTGAAATGAGATGATATGATGAGTTGTACAAGTAGCAATTTAAGCAACTTTCATGTTAGTATATGACCTTAGGTGGCCTAGAAAAGGTGTGATCTCAAACTATTTTTACCCTCTTCTTGATAATTTGATGGGCCGTTTAAAAGGGTCGAATTGAATGGTACTTTTCTTCACCTCATTGACCGTAAATGGTCCACCGAATTAGGAGGGCCTAACCAGCCTTTACCCACCTTACTTTGTTTTTTTTAAACCAAGATACAACACACACAGAAAGAAAGGTAACTTGAAAAAGGTTGGTTAGGTTAGGTGAAAGAAACAGTATTTAACTTGGAGAAAAGGTTTAATACCTTTTGCTTCTTAAACTGAGCGTGAAAATGATTTGCTTTTTTTTACTCAAATTTTACTTCAGATGAAGACTGGTAACTTTGTTAAAATGATTTTCTATCGGTTCATTCAATGTGCCTTTTTTCATCAGTCAGCCATAAGTTTTATATTGAATAGTAAATAAAATGAGAGAAGAAGATAATATAAAACAATAATAATGATAATCATAAAATGAGAAGACAAATTGACTGAAAGAGAACCAATTGAAGCAATTGAAACAGTTGAATTGATCAACAGTTAGACTGGAAATGCAGTTTTTATATGCAAATGGCGCAAGTTATTATTAGTCTTTGATACATTGACGGACACTTGGCCTAGTTGTACTTGTATTGCTATTGTAAATGGTCTGAATGATGGTTAAAAATAAAAGATATTTGCTTACCTCAGTCAAGCTTTCTAACCTAATAATCTCGGTGGGTAAAGTTGTCAATAGGTTCATGTGAAGTGCTAATGATCGCAGGTTGGACAGTTGAGCAATGGATGAAGGAAGAGATGAAATTTTGTTCTCACAGAGAGATAATGCTTCAAGTTTACTGAGTAGGCCAACCTCTTCTGGTATTGTGGTCAACTGATTACCTCCAAGGTAAAGGTATCGAAGTTTGGTTAGTTTGGCAATTGCTTTTGGTATGCTTTCAATTAAATTTGCTCCAAGGTAGAGGGAACGTAGTTGAACACAGTCTAAAATGGTTTCAGGTATGCTTCGAAATTGATTACCCGAAAGACTTAACACTTTGATGTTGGGCATGTATTTACTTGGATCAGCTTTGGACAATGAAATCTCGGTCAGTTTATTGTTACAGGCAATCAGAACCGTTAGGCAAGGTAAGTAAACCATTGGCTTAAGGGAGTCCAGTCCATTTTCACTGATATCTAGAGTTGTAAGGCTTACAAAAGAGGATAGGCTTGAGGGTAAATAGGTTAGTCGATTGTTGCTCAAATTAAGACTTGTAATAGATCGTTTGGTTGGTTCATCAAGACAATGATTATTACAATCATTATCGTTAACAGAACAAGCGAGACTGTTTTCACCATTAAAGTCAATTTCTGCGTCAACATCGTTCCCAATATTGTCATTAGCAAAACCAGGGCTTATAAAATGATCAAGATTTTGATTAATTGTCTCAGCGTCCAGGTTCATTGAAGATAAGTCAATAGAGGTTCGAACAGCCCTTGATCTTGGTGTATTTGCAAATTTAACGGGTAAACCAAGTAAGATTGAATCATTTGAGCCAATTGAGGATTCACTTGAGCTTCGATCACGAACAAGCTCATTTGAATTTAATGAAGATGGTGATGATGGAGATGAAACTGCAGATGATGAAGATGGTAATGAGCTGTTATCCAAATTATTTTCCTGGTCCATTGTTTATGTTCAACTTTGATGACTCTTACAACTGATGGTAAAATCGGTGAGATGGTGTTTGGCACAAATAAACTGATTCCAACAACTAATTTACAAAGTGTATAAGCACGGAGGAAACAAAATTAAATCTTGGCATAAATATCAGTGAAATATCAACAAGGAAATAACAGCAACAGGGGCAAGGTTAATGATCTGTAGGAAGATTATGATGGATAAAAGATAGTGTTGAAAAAGATGTCAAATGAAAACGGTTATTCACAGGGAAGATTCAGATGAATAGCAAAATTTGTATGATTCCCAAGGAACCAATTAGTTGTTTCATCAGTAATCTTAATGGTAAAAGCAGCGACAAATATTACGTCAAGTTTTTCGTTATTTTTCTCCTCATCTGGTTAACTTTTGTATGTTTCACAACTATTTTCAATGTGTATTTGGTTTTTAATGAACCAGAAACCAGCCTTAATATTCAACCATAATCAACAATAAGAGTCTCTAGGTAATTATCTATGCTTTATCAGTAACTTTCAATCAGCTCTATCTGGTGCTCGCCTTAGTGAGTTCTCGTGAATAAGGATCAAACCTAAGATTAAAATTAAGATATTACAATCAACCCTCTCGAAGTTAGAGCCTCTCAAAGTTAGACGTTTCTAGCGATAGTGCAATTATTATAAATTAGGTGCAAATAAAGAACGAATATTGATTAATTATTAACAATTAAACAATTTTTACCATATCAATTGATCCTTTAAACCATATTTACTATCAGAGGTTTAAGACTTTCTGGTTTACCTAATAGATTAATCTTTGGCTAAAATACGCAGACTTGACCGCAAAATAGACCATTAGCTATTCTTACGAAGTCTAAATTTGAGAGGGTTTGGGAAATTTAGAGTAATTAACTTAAATAAATGCATAATACAAACCTTCATTAAGCCTTAAAATACTCATTCATCCAACAATCATGCTTATGAAACTGATTCCTTGGTAGATTGAGAGTCTGTAGAAAGTGCAAGAGAAAGAGAGAAAGAAAGAAAGAGAACGATGAGTTAGTGATTTAATTAAATTGTCAGTGGTTAACAGTCTTGTTATTGCAGAACAATGTCAACTTTTTTTCATTATCCATAACAACAAATTGCTAAAATCAGCAATAAACGTCAAGTAGTTAGATACTTGTACCATCATAAAGTCATTATCTTCATAAACTCTCATATACACACCAATTTGAAATAACTCTTGAAGACAGTTCAACTCTCAAAATAAACATCACTTTCAAATTTTGACGCGATCCTGTTTACCTATTATCTCCAAAGACCAACACAAAGATGAGAATCACCATCACTTTGCCTTAATTGATTACATTTGTTTATCATCCAGAAAATAAATAGCTGAGGCTACAGACACTATGTAACAACACTTTAAACCAACAAATCTGGTACTAAAAAATATTTTCCTAACTTCTGAGTTGTAATACAAGGTGAGGTTAGCTGAAAGGTTGAACCTAGAAAATAATAATTAAACTGTCACAATCCAAGTTAATTTCAATGGAAGAATCGACACAAAAAGTCTTTTATAAATGTAAATAAATGCAATTTAGTATCTCAAAAGTACCAACCCTAACCTTAAGCTTAACTTACCTTAATCCATTGGTTATGGTATGTAATATCCAATCCAACGAAAGTTAATCACATCAAATTATTGATCCTAAACCTTCAAGAAAAAACATACAAAATTGAAACAATTTGAATGGGTTAACATGGCATGAAGCAATTGAAACAAAATAACTAAATTTTTAACATGCTTTACATTTGCACCAGCTGATCAAATAACACGTGATTGCGATAAAAGAGGCTCACAGCTTATTGATGACTCTTATTGTTAGCTTTGTTAATTTATATCTCAACGTTAATTCTAGATTTAAAATTAGACGGATAATCAATGCTGGTCTTCAACAAAGTTAACAAGTAATTAAGTTTACAATTGAAGAGGTTTACTGTCTCGGTCAAGTCAAACAAGTTTCACTTTTCTTCTGCTCTTGTAAGTCTTTGGCTAAAATTTACTTTCATTTAAAGGGTGTTAAGGTTTATTTCTTGCAAAGTAGGAAAAGGTTAAAGCGATCTTATCTGAAGATAAAGATAAAAATGGTAATAACATGACGATAAATATGAATTGGTCACTTGCATTTGCTTGGGTATTTTGATTAACCTTTTACTTTTGTGATTTCATCTTTATCTTCAGATAATATCGTTTCTCTCCCCCTGTTTTTGCAAGAAATAAACCTTAACACCCTTTACAATAAATATTTCATGGAATTGTGCCTTTCTCCGAGTTCAGCCCTCAGTATTTCAATTAACTTCAGTAATCCTGTGAATCAACATTCATCAATTACTAATCTTGTGTTATTTTTCATCATCTAAATGACAAAAAAACAAAAGCCAAGATTGAAAGTTACAGTCAAGTTAAATGAATACATTGAGCAAACCAAGAGGATCATCGAAATACTATCCAATTTAATTGAAACTGATTATGATTTTAAAACCAGATCTTACCTGATAAATGACCAAACCAATATAATCCGTGTTCAAAATTCAAATAAAGCCATCCATTTTACAAAAATTACACAAAAAATGGAAACAAGATTTTAAATGGTCATCATGATTTGTTGCTCAAACTAAAGCCTAAAACAGCTTAAACATCATTATAGATAGTGAGCAATATCTTTATATACAATGTTGATTTATCCCGGGCAAATTCAAATTCACTTGACTAATTTAAAATCTTGAATTGTTCATTTTATTATTATGATAATATAATATTTACCCAGAAAGCTTATTACCTGTTTTTTGCCTCTTCTTCATGCTTATCCCACAACTATTAGCAAACAAAATAATTCATTGGGCAAACAAAACGGTTATGGACGGTGATTAGGATTATCATTGGATTTTATCCTTTCATTTGATTACAACTTGTCAACCAGAAACAACAAGATTAGACTGAATATAAAGTATAAAACCAAATTGACCAGCACAATCAGGCAGAAACCAAACCCTGCATATTTAAAGCTGATCAAGTGAAATAACAATAATTCAATATCAAACAATTGGTTAAACAGTTTCTCAAAGGAAAGTGTGTTTGATTATCATTTCAATTGAGTTCAGTTCTTTAATCTATGACAATCAAATGGGATTTGTAAACAATTGAAACATAAATTAAATTTGAATTATTGAAATTAGGCAAGAAAAGCAAGCAAAAGCAAGGAAAAATGAAAAAATAAAGTTAACTCAATAACGATGATAACATTGAATACAAGAAGTTATTTCATTTTTCATTATTTCAATTGTATGAAAATTATCATCTCCAGAGACTCTACTGGACATGGATAATTAAATTTTATTAATGGGTTAATAGCTTAATCATTGAATTCATCATAATTTTGATCATATTTTGGATCATTAAAAATGTGAACAACTCTTGACCCATTTTGGTTTCACTCAATAATTGAAGTTTAATTTTTTGCTATCGGCTATTAAACAATTTGATTCAGTTATTTTTGAACAATTCAAATGATGCAAGCAATTAGACAATTTAAAATATTGATTAAAGTTCAACTTGGTCTCAACAATTGTCCTGAAATGCCATCAACACATCCAATAATTACTATCCACTAATCATATAACTAACCAGATTTAGATGTTACAATACTTTTTTAGGCCTTTCATTACATATTTAAAAACCTTTTTGTAATGAATCAAGCTCAACAAATTAAATTAACCATTTTCTTTGATAATTATCATTGAAATTAGGTTGAATTTGATACCATTGATGAAAGATGAACCTGTGAATGCTGTTACCATTGAACATGACATCGTAATTCAGTGGTCAACTGGATATGTTGAGGGCCTCCTATACAATGTCATCTCAATAAATTGGTAATTACAGCAAAAGAAACTGAGAAATTAAATAAATCAGAAAGCAAAATGATTGAAGTTAATCAAATTGAAAACTTGCCACTTTGAACACTTTTGTTTGCAATATGCTGTGAATCCAAAATGATTAACACAATAATCAATATAATCATTATTATTGTTGTAACTCGTATTTTGATGATTGCAAGGGAAATTATGATACCAAATTAGGCCAGGAAGTCAATTTTCTTATTGTCACAATCATTATCATCCTCATAACCAACACAGCACATCACCCTCAATCGAATCAAAGTTACCTTGCAATAAAAATAATGAGATTGGTGAACTTGATAAATCAAGTTCATCGTTTGATCACTTTTGATGCCATCAAATATTTGATCAGAAAATCTTTAACATCATATTTGTAACCATCATTAACATCTTTCATAACCCTTAAATTAATGATGAGTTAATATTTAATCAGAGCTTGACTTGATACTTGATTGCTTGAGTTACAATACGATCTAATGAGATGCTTCACAGACTTGCCATTTTTCACATTAACAACCATCTTCAAACAGCACCTTCACTTGTCTATTTTTGGAAAGTTAACCCACACATAGTGACCATTGACCTTTTTTATTTAAATTTTAATCAACCTTGTAAACTCAACTGCCAACCACTATGTTACCAGGCAAAGAAAAATAAGGTTAAAGGTGTTACGCTTTCACTATCCATAATGGTTCCTTATTTTTGGCCTCTCAACAGCGCAAAGAGATCAGCCTTTAGCAAGAGAAAAAAAAGAGAAAAATTTTACACAAAAAAGCCACTGCTTTGAATACTTGTTATTTCGTCTTGGTAAAGGTCAACATGTTATCACTCAATTTTGACCTTAAAGGCTCCTACAAGGAAAAGAGAAAGAGCGAAATTTAAATCCTTTAGTAGCAGCATATGTTGAGTCTAACTAGACTCTAAGATGCTTTTCATCTACCAGTGAAAGAAAAATAAGATGAAAAGGACACAAAAATGAACATATGTCGAGTTTAAGAAAACCTTGAGGTCAAATAACTTTCAAATAGCACTGACTTTCTTTGTGACTTTCAAGCAAATGGGACAACAAAAGAAACTGTTAAAGACGTTGGAGCAAGTAAGAGAAGCGTCTTTTCATCTGCAGCCTTGACATCTCAAGATATTTTGTGGACCTTCAACGTTAACATTTAACCCCAAAGAAAAGATCAGAGCATTTTTTTGTTCCTGAGACGTTTAACGATGAGACAATTTGATGGCCCAGTTTTGCGCCAAATTCATCTTGGATCCATTGTAAAAGTAAACAGCTTTGAAATACACTTTCCAATCGATATTAACTGTAAGAGAAAGCAGAGAAACCCATTAGACACTTGCAAGAAAAGGAAGTAAAAATTTGGCAAAAGAAGAAGAAAGTAAATCAAAAACTTAAACCTTTACTTTAACTTGAATATTATTACCAACATTAACATCATCGTCATCATCAAATCAAACAAGAGTTGCTTATATTTCCCCCCATTGAATCTAGTCTTACCGTATTCATGAACAATTCAAGAATAAGTGCATTTTACAAATTAATTACTCAATATTTGAGACCAGATTGAAGTTATTATGATTCCAGTAAACGTGAATAATACATTTAATAACTCAATTTACATATAGTTATTTGAACAGCTCCTGTTGATGATTTAAGCCTCGATACCATCAAAAAATACACTTGAATGATTATGATGTAAAGCCATTTCTGAAAAGAGAAAAATAAATCATTAAAAGGAAAATCTTATTATTTAATTTTGCCCATTCCTAATCAGTATTACAAGTGTATTTACTTTTACATCAACTGACCTGTTGGCATGCAAGGAGGTCCACTTGTTAGACTTAATTTTCAACAACAATCAGAGACAGAAAAGCACAAAATCTTGTCCTCTTTGGTAAAAAACTAACCTGTAATAATGGTCAGATAAAAGATGAACATTTTTTTCTTGTTTAGCTTTGTTTTTAAATCCTCCTTCTCCTCCTCCCTCAACCAAGATAAAAACACAACACAACACACAAACACACAACCTCATCATCATCTTTTGATAATAATTTAAAGACTTCTAACGCCTGACAAATAATATGATAAGTACAATACAATACATGAAAACATGCAAAAATGAAGAGACGTAAATTTGAATGATAAGGTTAAAAGATGATGATGAAAAGGTATAACATAATAACAATAACATTACTTGATTTGAAAAGAAGGAGAGTGAAGCAAGAAAAAACAGCAAAAAATCAACATCTCTTTGTAACTTCCCATTTCATAAGGCGTTAAGGTATTTTCCCACCATTGGACAAGTCTGAAAAGCAATAAATAATGAACATCAATGTATACAAACAAGTAGACTCATAACAAACGTTGAAATTTTTTGATATAAAAAAAAGTCTTAGATGATAAAAGGAATGAGTGAAAGATTGAAAGAGAAAGTGGTAAAGTCCTCTTTATACATGTTAAGAAATTACAAATCATATTGGAAGAGAGAATTTCAATGAAAATTAAAATGAAGAGTAAGAAGATCTATCAGAAGATGTAGCTTTAGCTTGTAAAACCTCATCTTCATCTTCTTACCCAACAATCACTTTTGGCTTTCTTTTCTTCAATCTTTCTTTTTTTTCCTTATTCATCCATTTTCACTTACTTTTAGTGTTCATCTCTCTCTCTCTTTTTTTGGAAGATAGCCCACAAAACATCATCATTGCCTTTCTTTTTGCTACGTTTTTCTTCTGATGGATACACAAATAAGGCTCGTGATTTTCCCACAATATATTCCAGGTAAACGTTATTAGTTTACCTTTTCATAAAATAAATAATAGTATCCAAGTGATCTGTAAGTACAGTAAGAAAGAGTATGGCACGTTAGAGTTGGGATCAACTTGATTCAGATGATAATAATGATATAATAATAATCATCAGGATAATAATAGTTTCATCTTAACCATCTTTTTTTTACTGGGCCCGTTCACATGATTGGACATAGTTAGATCATTAATTTTCTCACGCAATATTCCACAGTTGAAAGTTGAATATTGAATATTCCAGATTCCGATCTTGTCTTTCATGTACGCCATTTTTGTAATATTATGATGACCTTATCTGTTTCACCACAAATGGATCCACCATTGCTTATTCCTCCATCTTTGGAACTTTGCTCGATAACTTCAATCATTGCTCATAATAGCTACAAAACAATCAGATTCTCATTTGTAATACGTTATTACGTATTAAGCATGTGAAAAAAAATAATTTCTTCATTTTCCTTTTTCTTCTTTCTCATCAATTCAGAGTATGGATCCATCATTTTACAAGCCTTAACAGCTTTGGAAAGCTTTGCATGTCACAAAATTAAAAAAAACTCAAAATTCCCTTCAATTGGACTCATTTTATGTTGAAATAGTGACCATAATAAGGGCAAAACATTCAAAGGCCACATTCACTGTTTCCTTCAAGCTACTTAATCTTTCTTCTTTTTACTCCTTATCTTGGATGGTTTCTATTTTTTACAGAAAAAAAGAGAAAAAGAAAAGAAAATAAGATGAAGATTATGATGAAAAGGAAGAGAAAATTGAAAAGTGAAAATTATACTCACCAAAGATATGAATCTAGTCTACAAAAGGGTTACAAGAAAACCAATCAAAAGTAATCAAAGAACAATTGATGTCCATCATTTTTTAGTGTTAGTTGTTCAATTTGAAAAGTATCAGATGGATAGCTAATAATGGATTTATGTACAGTCAATCCAGTTGCCTGCGAAATGGGTGAGAAATGGAAGAGAAAAAATGAGAAAAAGTTAATGAATAACGAAATGAAAAGAGAAGAAGAGAGATGATGATGAGTAAAATGAAATCAAAGTTGGTAAGAAGGAAAACAATGTTAACGATGTTCCTCTTTTACTTTAAATATCTTGATGATGATAATACTTGATTGGTGTGAATCCAGAGGAACCAACAAAAAATGACAGTTACAATGAATGATTCCCAAGCGATTAATTCTGGTGAGGTGATGATTCTGTTCCCCTCTCTCACCTTACACTCATTTATACTTTATCAAGATGGTTAAAGACTTTGAGAGTAGGTTAAAGGTGAAACCATATATTAATAAACAACAACCAAATGTATTGAAGATGTATCATCTATTAGAAATGCTTTGATTTTTTGTTGTGTGTTTTCCATGTTTTTTTTGCTTCCTCCTTCATCACCCATGATATGACTTATCAGCATCCTTTTTGCATCCCTTTAGCAGCCTTTCATCCTTTTATTTAAACCAATTTCACTTTGTTTAACCACCCAAAGTAGAGATGAAATAGTTAATGAATGATGATGGTAGTGATGATATAAAATGAATACTCGGGAGATTGCGATTTTAGTTTACATTTTTCAATCAGCCAAGTTTATCCAAATAAGTTACATTTTCTCATTGATTAATATGCGAAAATCAAGGAACCAAGGAATAAATTTGTTGTTGTTGCGATTGGCGGTGGAAAAAAAACTTCTGTATGAGAAAAAAAGAAGCAGAGAAAAGGGTAAAGAGTTACACAAAAATTAAAAAAAGCTGGAAGGGTAAATCTAGCTGAAAGGAAGTTTACTGATGATGATTAAAATGAAAAATCCGTGATGAAAAATTAACAAAAAAGTGTAGAGAGACAGAAGTAAGGTTAACATTTTTCAACTCTTTTTTATACCTTATATTGATGTGGTTAATCATTTGCCAAATTTACCTTCAATTTCTTGCCTAATGTTGAATGAAAAAATATCCAAATTTTGTGGTAACCGAAAAATTCTGAGGAGGAAAAAAAGAGTCAATATGAGAATATTTTCAAATTATTTGAATATTATATGGATATGAATTTAGATATACAACATATATTTATTATTTGTATATTTGATAAATATGAATAACACATTCATACTCCCATTTAGTTTCCTGTCTCTTTTTTTCCCTGATATGTATTATAATATGAAGTGAATGAACAGAGGCAAGGAAGATGATGAAGAAGAGAAAGAAGAAAAAGAAATGAAAGATGAAAAGCAACATCTTTTCCAGTGAATTTCAATTGATTCTTTCATGTTCATCATCCTTTACTTTGCTAGAATTTCTTTTTTTTTTATCTCAGATTACTTCAATGAATATTAATGACTGAATATTTCTAGCATGGTTAGTTAAAGTTAGTTAGCTGAAGTAGAAAGAAACTTAATGAGTTATTTATAAATTATCTTTCGTTCAATGGACTTTTGTGTGTAGTCAAGAGTTTTGGTGTAAAGTTGAAAATTTCAGCTTATTATGGTGGATACTAATGGTGATGGCGGTCATGGTGAAAAATGAACAATTAGATAAGAAGGTAGATGTTTCCATTCGTCTGAGAAAATCTAGAGAATAAAAAGACAAAAAGATTTTATTAGTTGGAGTTATAACGATGGTGATAACAATGAAAAGAGATTGAATGATAAATTGGATAAAAGGGCAATAGTTACCTGAATGATAATTTGCATTGCAAGTTGAAAAAAAGAGTGAAAATGCGTCAAGAATTACAAAAGTTGATGATAAGTTGACTGACAAATCACGTTTTGGTGTATTTTGCATCAACAGTGAAAAACTTTGAATTAAATGAAGCATAGGATTACTGGTACATCATCCTCATTATCCTAATAATCATTCAACAGGATCAACAAGAGAGGAAAAATGCATTTGACAAGCTAATTTGAATAATACACAAAAAATTGAAAGATGAAAGAAGCAACGAAAAAGTGGATAAAAAAGGCAATTAGACTAACCGACAATTAAGCTTAATTGAAAGAGTTGACCATTAACTGTACACTTTCAACTAACAGTTATCACAATGGTCAATTCAATTTACTGACACACATTTTTCTGGCTGATAATTGAAGACATTGAAATGCAAGAAAAGGTTAAAATCACCTAAAAAAGAAAAGAAATCAGAATTTAAATTAATAGTGTTTGGGTTAATTTGATGAATAAAGAAAGATGATTAAATAATCATTATGGCTACCTTTTTATACGCTTTCTGCTTCTTCTTATAGCAGAATTGGCTCAAATTGGTGGTCTTAATGAGTCCTTTTCTGGTCAAAAAAACCACAATAATTCACTAACTGGATTACAATTGAAACCAAAAAGGTGTGAGCTTGTTGAATGGCCGAAGTAATGTAACCAGGTATAATGGTGAGTATGAATGTAAACCAGTTAACAGGCGAGTTTGCTAATCCGTTGAAAACGGTGCTAAACCATTGTAATGGACAGTAATAACAATTAACTCGCTGACTTTTCCCCTTCTTTTTCACCTTGCTCATATTCATGGGAAAAGAAACAAGTTAAATTGTTTTTTCAGCTCATTCCTGGTTGGTGGTAATTTCAGTTTAATGAGAATCAACAATGTCCAGTTTCAAGTTTTCCTTGAAATGATATGGTGCTTGGCTGGATATGGCTACAAGTCCAATTTTAGATTTTGTTTGTTCTGTAAAGTAAGAAAAAAAACAGTTAATTTGATTATGATTAACAAAGTCGGTTAGAGTTGATTGTAATTGAAAAAAAGTGATATTCCTTTGGATTGTTTTGGAAAGCTGTTTACAGCCAAACCTAAGTTTGTCTCAATGGGTGAAGAAGTCAAATTTTAAAATTGTTCAATTGTTTACAGTTGTAGTTGATGAACCAATGAAGAGTATAAAAAAGGTATTCAATATCTTAGACCATTCAACTTGTTCTAGTACTGAATAATTTTTCGTGATACTCTACAGGTAGAGTTGCAATAAAAAAGCTATTCAAGCTTCCTGAGTTTTTTTGAACTATCTGTAAATAGCAATAAAAGCTCCAGTTGATTTCTTATGAAGAGAAAACGATTTTTTTCTTCTCCTGCTCAATCAGCAATTCAGAAGCATTTAAAGTTTAAACACAGAATGCTTTTCTTGTATTGACAAAAAAACTGTTTAGATGCATACATTGATAACAATATGAAACATTTGTGAACTGGGTGAGAATGTCAATTTAGGATTGAAAGACTTTAAAAGAAATGAGAAAGCAATCTAAATGTAAAAAAGGCAATGAAATAAAAGCTAAAAATAGTAAAGGTAAAAGATGGGCTAGAAATACTTTCGTTTTCACCTTGTAACAACGCTTGATCTTGACAAAAGTGAGCCTGGGTCAGTTAGAGGAATTGACCACTCAATTATCAACCTAATCACTGATTCAATCCAATAAAATGATATAATAGTTGAACGTGTGAACTCAAAAACTGCGGTTAAATGGTAAAAACATTGTCCCAATTGAAGGAGATTATAAAGAGTGAGGTGTTGAAAAAAACACATCTGATCAGCTCTTCAGAATACTCAATTGATTTTCAATTTGATTTTTATAGCTTGTAATGCATTGATTAATTGAAATAAACTGATTCACAAGGTAAATAGAGTATATTTTTTTTCAGCTGGTGTTGCTGATGATGGGCAAAATGATAGAGTTGTAGGAGAAAGAAAGGGAACACTTGTTACCGGAAAAAGGAAAGAAGTAGGTACAAAATAGAGAAAGGAGATAAAGAAAACCGGAAAATTGAGAGCAGAAGAAAAAAAAGTTGTGTTTACCAGGTTAATATTGACTTTACCTAATGTAAAGTCGTGTCCAGACGATCCAATTTAACAATCAAATGTAATTCGTTACAGCTTAACACCAATCTCTTCTAGGTAAATACATTTACACTGCTGGTTGCCTCAAGTCCACCAATTTACAATCATCCAGGCTCAGCTATAAGACCTTGTAATGATTGAAGATGTTTTTCCTTTTGATAGCTATTCTTAATAACAAAATCTTAACTTAATCATAATTCACATTCAATGGTGTATCTGGAAAGAACAAATTAGCAAAATTGAATATTATGCTTACAAGATGGCTTAAGAAAAGGAAGAGATGCAATTTACTTACCTAAATATTAGCTATTGATCTGGAAAGCTGATGGCTATTTTTATCTTGTAATTGTAGGATTAATGATTAATTAACTGTAATCATTAAATTTAAATGTAAAACAAAATGTAAAAATTTCAATTCTTCATGATTAAAAATAACACTTAACTTGAATGATACTTGAAATGAAAAGGTTCATCAAGCAAATTTCATCAGAAGATTTTATCAATTCATTCAATGGTCATTTTAAAAATGGAAACGGTTAAATAGAAACATTAACAAATTAGGAGAATTACTGGAAACGATGACAAATGGTTTCAATTAACTACACTAATGGGAAAATAAGAAAGAGTTGCTAATTAACTGAATCAATTAATGAGTCTATTCATTAATCTCTAACAATAAAGTGAGAATAGACACTGTAAATAAACAATCGATTGATCCCTTCAACCATTTTAATGTATCGATAGATCTAAATGACAAAATGTGTCAGCATTTTTCATTTGTAAACAAAACCGATTGTTATACAATATTTGTTATATAAACCTGATATTGTTTATTAATTTTATTGCTATTATAATTCATCATACAAGCCTGGAGTAAAGTTCTGAGAGCAATCAAAGAGTTTAATTAATGATTCCAAGTAGTGTTTTATTTATTTGCATCTTGGATTGATCAATACTTTGAATATGTTTAAGGTCAATGTCATAATGTTTTTTAAGATTGACTTTTTTTTCCTGACGAGACTCAATTTTCAATCATCAAACAAAATTGTTAACATTTGTGATTAAGAACTTTTTTCTTGTTTTGTTAATAGTTATGGTCGAGTTAATTTTGGCAAGCTAAAATTTTATTCTTTAAATCTGTGCTTACTCATAATCATCATGTTATCCTACCTGTCTTGTCATCAAAAGAAATAAAAGAGTGATTTCCTTTTCTTTTAACTTTGAAATTATAAAAAGAAACTCAAATGAAATGTCTTTCTCTCTCTCAATAATAATGAAGGAAAACCATGACTATATCTTTGCAGATAGAACTATTATTTTGACGGATTGATCATCATTTAAGAATCCTCTTGGTTTTTTTTCCATTCAACTCTCCAAAATCATCTCAGCATGGAAACATAATGGAACAACAATCAGTCAACCATGATTCTTTCCCATAAACCAGTTATACTGTGAACTTATCATCATAATCACCATCATCTTCATTCTGGAGAGACCAACAGGATAAAGAAGAAGACGAAGTAAAAAAATCATATTGTTCATATTTACTTGTTCAATTTAATACTAGATTCAGAGATTGGCTTCGTTTATTAATATTTATTCATCGTATTGATGTTTGGATTTGAAAGTTGATTCCTGAGAAACGGAGGAGATAAAACGACAAACTTTAATCACTATTATCCAAACAAACTTGGCAACAAATTTGAATATTCAAATGATCAATTTTGGGTTGAAAAATTTACTGGATTGTCTCTGATTTACAATCGAATATTTACTCATTTTGCTAAATGGTTCATTGTTCCTGACAACACCGACATCATCTCGTTATCTTTGTTCAAACAATTTGTTAATTAATTACCTGTAAATTTTTCATGCAGTATATGTATTTTTGTACAAACTGTTTGTTGAAAGATTAACGTTCAACAATAGCAAAATCTTTATCAACATCAAAAATCATGTTAACAACTTGTTTTAAGTTTTCTACCTGTTGACTGGAAATAAATCAACGTTGACAGAAACAAAATTGTTTTGGTAATCACAGTTTCCTGCTTTTCGGATGAAAATGGCGTTTATTTTCCTACAATTGTCAATTCATTGATTGCCATCGGCTGCATGTAGTCAGCTAAATTCTGTAGAAGATTCAAGATACCCATCAGATTAGAAGATAACTTTATATGGCCGCTTATATGACATTTGTATCAACTGGGTTTGATCGAAGAAGCTGTTAGAGAATGGTTCTTGACTGGATATGGTTACAAAGTTGGTTAGAGTTTACGATTTTAATTGGAGCAAAATTGTTATTCCATTGGACTGTTTTGGAAAGCTGTTTGTAACCAAACCCAAATTTGTCTCAATGAATGAAGACGTCAAAATTCAATTGTAAATTCTAGTTGTTTAATTAATCATTGATCGATCTAACAACTCTTAGATACCAAACATGGATTGGTATTGAAAAACAATAAGATTGTTTGAGTGGATAAAGAGGTTAATGAGAATTAACTCTCACAGTTGATAATTAGAGGTGTTATAAAATGATGGAATCAGAAAAATAAAGACAAAAGCATTAATTGATATTTAATTGCTGTGTTTAACGCTGAAAATGAAGAATCAAATACTTTTCAAGATATTCTGTTTTATACTTTTCCTGTTGTTAAATTGTTCAATTGTCAACTGCAGTAAGTAATTGAAATAAAAATTTTGCCTCATTTTTTATTGATTATACAATTTGTCGTTACAATTTGAAGCATCTTTGGTGGACTCAAGAGTTGCAGGTCACAGTAACACCAATAGGATTATCTATGCATCTTTAACAGACAGGGTTAGTTTAATGCAACTGTAATGAGCATTATATGAGATTTATAATCTACATTTATTATTTAATTAAGGACACTGGCCGTGTTTGGCACATTCAAGAATGGGTTTACTCTGGAAGTCCAAGGGCTGGACGAATCGAAATAAACTCAGATGAAAATGAAGCCAATGTCTTCTATTCGTACACAAACTCCAGAGACAACAAAAAACGTCTCGTTATTCATGGTAAGTCTTGTTTGTTGATAAAATCTGTATAAATCATAATCAATCAATAATATTGATGCTTGATTTTTGAACAAGTAAATCAGTTTTGTTACAGTTTTACCAGGTTAGACTAACAGTAAGATTACCTTGAAATTTAACTCACATTGACAATTGTATCTTGTTTCATTGAATATAAAAACACCCCCAGAGTTGATTATTATACAAAACTTAACTTTTTCATTTAACAAACAAATGATCAACTCGAGGTGTTAAGTTTCATTAACTAGAGCATGATTACTGAATTTATCACATTTTAACATTTGGTAAATTATTTATGAATCTTTAACTTACTTGATCTGAGCGGATAAACGATAACTAATGAATTTTCACTAAACTATCAATTTATTTAGACAATGAATGTGATCTTTACAATTATGATCTCAAGTGGGATAACTTATTGCCTGGTGTAAATAAACCTTTAACTAACCTTATCCTGCTTTTGGGTCCATCGGTCTTGGATCGTTTTAGTGGCTTTGATTGGGTAATTAATAGAGACATTTATAATCAAGACATTTTAATGAAATGCAATTGACAGGAAAATGGTAACGATGAGACCATCAGAGGTGCTCTTATGCACAGCGTCTCAACCGATTTGGATGGTAAACTCAACATAACTTTATTTTATCAAAGTAAGTACAACTTTCCTTTTTTGTTATGTAATATTCAATTAATTTGATTAATTACAAATTAGATTATCTTAACCAAATGAATGGCATTCAACAGCCAAGTCAAATTGTATTTACTGGTCACAATCCTGATACTTTGGTTGAAGGTGAACCCGAGACTCTGATTCTAGACATTGCTCTACAATCACAAACTGAACAAAGATTGGATAAATTAGTTCAGGTAAGTTTATTATTACGATGTTATTGTTTAGAGATCGAATATTAATTTTGATCTTCTAAGGTTACACCAGGATTTGGTTGCCCAGTATATCTAAATGGAGATGTTGCCTTCCCTGAACTCAATACCCTCAAAATTCATTTCATAGCTGCTGAACAAGTTAATAAAGGTCCAAAAGTTATAAACGAGGTAATAGATTTATTTGCTTTTTCTTTGAAATCGGTTATAATTGTTAATCAATTCTGTTTGCAGTTCCATGCTGATGAAACTTATCAAATTTTGAGACAATCTGAACTAAAATATGGCTTCAAAAACGAAAAGCTCATCGATTATTCACTTGGTGCTTTTTACCGTTTATCAAAATCTGGTGACTGCCTTATAGCATCTGTGAATTCAAAGGATCCTGGTATTGATGAAAGTGGTTCATTTTCAATAGCAAGACTACTTTGGTTATCCAAGACATTGAAGTATCTTGGAGAGATAATATTTGTAAGTTTTACCTTAAGTTGATTAACTGGCGAATGACCGATTGATATCGATTGTGTCTTTACAGGAACACAGATCTGGTTATAATGTTCATGTTTGGGAATCCATTGAAACCAATCGAGTAATAAACGACAAAACATATGATAAAGTGGTGACAACACAGTATTTGAGTTCATCTGTAAGTTTAATTTGACTATAAGTTATTTTTTATAAGTGACAAAGTTTTTGATTCTTTCCTTTCATTCAGTACCAAAATGATCTGTTCAATCGCTACAGTCTTGTTGCAGCTTCAATAAAAGCCTACACAAAAAATGCAAAGGTAAGACTAGTTGTGATGATCATTTAAAAATATAAGAACTAACAGTTGAATATTGCAGGGTTCATATGTTTTATCATATACAAATCATCGAGACTATTATGATTCAAATAGTGATTTACCTGAGTCCGAATACAATGAAGCTTTGCAAATTGAAGATTGTTTCCAAAAGCCAGAAGAAAGAATGAATTTAAAGTTTCATTTAACATGCAAAGGTAATGTTTAGCTTCAAAGTTATTTGTTAATTTACTCAAGCTATTATTCATTTACAACAACATAGATTCTGATGGATGCATAAAGAAGTCACAAGATTCAGTTTATGAAATGAGAGAACTATTCAGATCAAGTTTACTTGGACAATTAAAAATATCATCTACTCGAGTTGCTGACATTGACTTTAAGTTTCAGAAAGAAGTGATCGAAGCTGACGTTACTTTTCTCGAAGCAACAAAAATATCGGGTAACTGCATTAATCAATAGATTCTGCAATAATAAATCATGGTAGAATCAGTATCCATTTGAAAATTTCAAATTAAATTTTTTCGTCTATCGAAGATGTTCTACCATTTGATGTATACACAATAAGTCCAGAATCGATCAGCAAATTGCACGAGACTGTTGCTGGCAGTGATGAGAAGTGCCTTCGATATCATGCTTCATTCATTCCTACTGGAGCGTAAGTTGTACTGTTTTGAGTAACGTTAACTTTTGCATAACATTTAATTTTGGGCTTTTTTTATTTTACTTAATATTCCAAGTGCTATAATCTATTGTGCGACAGGAAATGTTTGTTTTAGTGCTGCAAACGCGAAAGAGGTAAAGGAATCTAAAACAGGAACTTTTTGTAGTATTTACCACGATCCAAACAAGAAACTGAATAGGTTAGGCCAAGAAATGTCTTTAGCAGATTTACATGATCATATACTTAATAATTTTGGACGCATAACATTTAATATGAATCTTGATGCAAAAGGTAAATATCTTCGTTCATAATTTACATCATTAAGATTGAGTTTGAACAGATAGCATTTAAACTGATCACTTAAATTTACTTTTGTTTTACAGCCAAGGCTGTTACTTTTCAAGTAACAGATGCAATTGCTCAACTTGAAGCTCCTGCAGAGCTAAAAAAGCCATTTAAGTCTTTGTTTCGGTCTAGTCGATTCGATGAAATAGATGGTGTTCATACTGTCACTGTTCCTGGTGTCGACCGTTTCGGTGATTGTTATCGTGCCTGTTCTCAGAATGAAGATATACCTTGTGAAACATTTTCATTTTGCAACAGAAAAGATAAGAAGGAATGTGTTGTATCGATTTGGTCAGAATCACAGCTAGCAAATAATAAGACAAGTGATCCAGATTGTGTTATTTATTCAAAGAACCACTTGTCTGACTATACTGTTCGACGTGGTCTGAGGTACAAGCACCCAACCACAGCGATTAAGAATATTTACGTCGATGATTGTGCTTCGGAATGTTATGCTTCCAAAGATTGTTTTTCGTTTCAATATTGTCAAGGTCAAGGTAAAATGGGCCAAAAGTGTTCATTTGGCGGTTATGTCACATCAGCAAATACAGAATTTTATGAAAAATGTGATATTTATATCCGTAAGTACTAACTGACACAAATCGTATTAACTGATGCAAATGTAGAAACTTTATTAAACATTTTCTTTCATTTTTTCTTGCAGCCAAAAGCTCTGAAAAATATACAGTAACAGGAAAGAAACTTGTCAGTCAAGTTTTGTACACAGAAGTTGATTTGGATTTGGATCAATGTGCTACTCTTTGTGATGATGATCAATCATGTAAATCATTCAACTTCTGTCCAAAAGGGAAAGCACCCGCTCAATGTCAAATAACTTCATATTCAACTAAAGATCCTAAGACGGAATCAGTGGAATCATCCATTTGTCATAACTTTGAATCAACTGTTAAAGCCAAAGCAGACGCAATTTCAGATAACAGTCCTGATGTTAAAGTATCTGGAGTCAGTGGTGGAGGAGTTTTTGGTATTATCATGTTGTTCCTATTTATTGGTCTTTTTGCTGGTTTCGTTGGTCCTTATGTTTACACTAAAGTAAAATCAGGAGATTTGACCAAATCGAAAGACAATTTTGGATGGTCAAAGCAAGAAGATGATGATGAAAATTTAACACAAATTTAAGCTTAAATTTAAATTAATTTATAATAAAATTAAAATCCATTTACAAACAAAAGATACATTTTCATTTGAAATTCAAGATTAACACATTTTAAGCCGCAAAGATTTTTCCATCAAAATCCTGTTTACTCATGAGTTTAATCATTGAAAAATGAGTTTCAGGTCAAAGCAAGAAGATGATGATGAGAATCTAACTCAAATTTAGTCTTTAATTTAAATTAATTTGTACCAAAATTAAATGTATCAATTTATAAAAATAAATTTGATTCATTCTCATTTGAAATCAAGATTGATTTTCATTGACAAGAAAGGTAGAAAGTGAGAGAAAACTGAATTAAAAAATGTGTTTGAATGAAAAAAGCAATTAAAGATAATAAAGCAATAGTATCCAATGAGTTCAAAACAAACATGAGTACCTTTAATAAATGTCAAAAATTCTTCATGAACTTGAAGGCACCAAAGCACATGATCAATAAAACATTTAGTTGACATATGAATCATGGTTTAATCAAACGAAGGCCCCGATAACGAGTTCCATAACGGATGTAGACAGAGAAATATGAAAAGAAAATTCCACGAAATGTTCAGTTTATTGAGATTCCATTATAACACCTTTATTTGAACTTGATCTTATGACACCAATAAACCATCCTGTTCATCTAATCATTGATCGATCTAAAAACTCCTAAATACTAAACAATATTAAATGCCAATAGGAGACAATAATTGATATTGAAAAACAATAAGATTGTTTGAGGGGATAAACAAATTAATGATAATTAATTCTCACAGTTGATAATTAGAGGTGTTATAAATGATGGAATCAACAAAAAGTAAAGCAAATCCTGAAAAGTAAAAAATCAAAATCATTAATTGATACTTAATTGTTGTGTTCAACACTTAAAATGAGGAATCAAATACTTTCCAATATGTTTTGTTTTATACTTTTACTGTTGTTAAATTGTTCAATCATCAACTGCAGTAAGTAATCAATTGAATTAATTTAAATATTTTTTAATTGTTTATTGATTATTCAACTTGTCTTTTTAATGTGAAGCATCTTTGGTGGGATCAAGAGCTACAGGTCACAGTAACACAAATAGGATTATCCATGCATCTTTAACGGACAAGGTTAGTTAAATTCAATTGTAATTAAAATTATGTGAGATTGATTAACTGTTGTATTCAGGACACTGGTCGTGTTTGGCAAATTCAAGAATCGGTTAACTCAGGAAGTCCAAGAGCTGGACGAATCGAAATAAAAACAGATGAAAATGCAGCCAATGTCTTCTATTCATACTCAAACTCCAGAGACAACAATAAGCGTCTCGTCATTCACGGTAAGTCTCGCTCATTTTAACTTAAATTGATGTGCTAATGAAAAATAATCAATAATTGATGCTTTATGTTTGCGATTTTTGAACAAAAAATTCAGTCTTGTTTCAGTTTTACCAGGTTAGACAGAGAGTAAGATTGCCTCAGTAAGATCAACGCACGTTGACAATTGAATCGGCGTGATTAAATATAAAAACACCCACCAGAGTTAAACATTGTAGCAAACAAGTGATCAACTTGAGGTGTTAAGTTTGATTAACTAGATCATGATTTAATATTTGATAAAATTATGCATCATCTTTGACTTACTCAATGATCTGAGCGGATAAATGATAACTAATGAATTTACATTAATCTATCAATTTATTTAGACAATGAATGCGATCTTTACAATTATAATCTGAAATGGGACAACTTATTGCCTGGTGTAAATAAACCTTTAACTAATCTTATCCTGCTTTTGGGTCCATCAATATTGGATCGTTTTAGTGGCTTTGATTGGGTAATTAATAAAAACATTTATTTTTAATAATCAAGACATTCTAATGAAATAATCAAACATAAAATTTCATGACCAGTCAAGTGGTAACGATGAGATTATCAGAGGTTCATCTATGCACAGCGTCTCAACCAATTTGGATGGTAAACTTAATATAACTTTATTTTATGAAAGTAAGTACAACTTTCCATTTTTTGTAATGTTATTGACGATATTAATATTCAATTAATTTGATTAATTACAAAATAGATTATCTTAACCAAATGAACGGAATTCAACAGCCAAGTCAAATTGTATTCACTGGTCACAATCCTGATACTTTAGTTGAAGGAGAAGGCGAGACTCTCATCTTAGATATTTATTTACAATCGCAAACTGAACAAGAATTGGGTAAACTAGTTCAGGTAACTTCATTATTACGATGTTTATTGCTTAGAAATCTTATTAATCTTAGAAATATTAATTTTGTTTGCTCTAAGGTTACACCAGGATTTGGTTGTCCAGTCTATCTGAATGGAGATCGGGCCTTCCCTGAACTCAATTCTGTCAAAATTCATTTTATCGCTGCTGAACAAGTTAATAACGGTGATAAAGTTATAAACGAGGTAACTAGATTTATTTTCTCGCTCTTTGAAATCGGTTATAATTGTTAATCATTCCTGTCTTTAGTTCCATGCTGATGAAACTTATCAAATATTACGACAATCTGAACTAAAATATGGCTACAAAAACGAAAAGCTCTTCGATTATTCACTTGGTGCTTATTATCGTATATCAACTTCTGGTAGCTGCTATGCATCAGCTATTGATGCAAATGATCCTGGTATTGATGAAAGTGGTTCATTTTCAATAGCAAGACTGCTTTGGTTATCAAAGACATTGAAATATCTTGGACAAATAATATTTGTAAGTTTAACCAATAACCAATCACTCATTAACTGGCTAATGAACGATTGATATCGATTGTATCTTTACAGGAACACAGATCAGGTTATAATGTTCATGTTTGGGAATCCATTGAGACCAATCGAGTAATAAACGACAAAACATATGATAAAGTGGTGACAACACAGTATTTGAGTTCATCTGTAAGTTTAATTTGACTTTCTTCCTGGTCCATTGAAATGAAATATCTTAAAATTTCTTTCCTTTATTTCAGTACCAATATGATATTTTCAATCGCTACAGTCTTGTTGCAGCTACAATAAAAGCTTACACAAAAAATGCAAAGGTAAGACTTGTTGTTGATGATCATTTAAAATATAAGGACTAACTGATGTATATTGCAGGGTGATTATATTTTATCATATACAAATCATCGAGATTATTATGATTCCAATAGTGATTTACCTGAGTCTGAATACCATGAAGCTCTGCAAATTGAAGATTGTTTCCAAAAGCCAGAAGAGAGATTGAATTTAAAGTTTCATTTAACATGCAAAGGTAATGTTCAGCTGCAAAGTTATTTATCAATTTACTCAAATACATATTCATTTACAACAACAACATAGATTCTGATGGATGCATAAAGAAGTCACAGGATTCAGTTTATGAAATGAGAGAACTATTCAGATCAAGTTTACTTGGACAACTAGGAATATCATCAACTCGAGTTTCAGATATTCAATTTAAGTTCCAGGATGATGTTATTGAAGCTGACGTTACTTTTCTCGAAGCTCCAAGAATCCAGGGTAAGAAATTTAATCAATCATTTTTCAATAATAACTTAGATTGTGATAGAATAATTATATATTTTGAAATTGGTTTCATTTCCATGTATCAAAGAGGTTCTACCATATGATACTTACTCGATAAGACCACAATCGATCAGCAAATTACACGAGACTGTTGCTGATGATCAGGAAAAGTGCCTTCGATATCATTCATCATTCATTCCTCCTGGAGCGTAAGTTACTTTGACTAATATTAACTCTTGAATAGCATTTAATTCTGGTTTCTTTTCATTATTATCTAATATTCCAAGTGCTATAATCTATTGTCGCGATGGAAATGTTTGTTTTAGTACTACAAACGCAAAAGATGTAAAGAAAGTTAACACAGGAACTTCGTGTAATGTATACACCGATCCATTTAAAAGACTGAATAGATTGGGCCAAGAAAAGCCTTTATCCGATTTACATGATCATATTCTTGGTTACTTTGGACACATAACATTTAATTTGAATCTTGATGAAAAAGGTAAAATCTATTTCCATAGATGTCTAATTTTTTACTCATTAAGTCTTACAGATTGTCATCGCATTTAAACTTGAATTTAAATTTATATTTATAGCCAAGGCTGTCGCTTTTCAAGTAACTGATGTCGTTGCTCAAATCGACACTGCTCAAGAGTTGAAAAAACCATATGAGACTTTGTACTATTCCAGTCAATTTGAGGCAATAGATGGTGTTAATACTGTCACCGTTCCTGGAGTCGATCGTTTCGGTGATTGTTATCGTGCCTGTTCTCAGAATGAAGATATACCTTGTGAAACTTTTTCATTTTGTAACGGAAAAGATAAGAAGGAATGTGTTGTATCGATTTGGACAGGAACTCAGATATCAAATAATCGAACAAGTTCATCAGATTGTATAATTTATTCAAAGAACCACTTGTCTGACTATACTGTTCGACGTAGTTTGAGATACAAGCATCCAACTACAGTGGCTAAGGATGCTTACGTTGATGATTGTGCCTCGGAATGTTATGCTTCCAAAGATTGTGTTTCATTTCAATATTGTAGAGGTCAAAAGTGTTCATTTGGTGGTTATGTCACATCAGCAAATACAGAATTTTATGAAGACTGTGATATTTATGTTCGTAAGTACTAATCGACACAAATCGTATTAACTGATGCAAATGTAAAAACTTTATTAAACATTTTCTTTTATTTTTTCTTGCAGCCAAAAGCTCTGAAAAATATACAGTAACAGGAAAGAAACTTGTCAGTCAAGTTTTATACACAGAAGTTGATTTGGATTTGGATCAATGTGCTACTCTTTGTGATGATGATCAATCATGTAAATCATTCAACTTCTGTCCAAAAGGGAAAGCACCCGCTCAATGTCAAATAACTTCATATTCAACTAAAGATCCCAAGACGGAATCAGTGGAATCATCCATTTGTCATAACTTTGAATCAACTGTTAAAGCCAAAGCAGACGCAATTTCAGATAACAGTCCTGATGTTAAAGTATCTGGAGTCAGTGGTGGAGGAGTTTTTGGTATTATCATGTTGTTCCTATTTATTGGTCTTTTTGCTGGTTTCGTTGGTCCTTATGTTTACACCAAAGTAAAATCAGGAGATTTGAATAAATCGAAAGATAATTTTGGATGGTCAAAGCAAGAAGATGATGATGAAAATTTAACACAAATTTAAGCTTAAATTTAAATTAATTTATAATAAAATTAAAATCCATTTACAAACAAAAGATACATTTTCATTTGAAATTCAAGATTAACACATTTTAAGCCGCAAAGATTTTTCCATCAAAATCCTGTTTACTCATGAGTTTAATCATTGAAAAATGAGTTTCAGGTCTCTTACAACCACAGAGAACCGAAAACAATTGACAAAAACAAAAAATTCAATTTCACAAAAAAAAGTGCATTTTCTGATCTTCAAATGTTGCATTGAGACACCTGGGACACCTCCCTTGTAAGGCTATTGTAGTTTCAACTTTGGCCTCAATTTCCTCGAAAACTGTGGATTGGACTAATAGCACTAACGGACCCTTATTCCTCTACAAACCTGCAAAGTCCTTACTCGAAAGGAAAGTCTTTTGTCCATAGTTCCTTTACATTGTTTTGGTACAAGTTGGTCATTTGGGTTTTTTAGTCAGACCCTCAATTTTCACTGATAAAAAGTATGCAACCATTTTGCAACCGATTTTGTTGATAATTTTTTCCTTTGAGAAACAATGGACTTGGCTTTATCTTGATAAATGTACACAAACAACAATGATAATGAAAAGCCCTACTAATCACCATCACAATTTTAGATAACTGCTTTTAATCTTTGAACTAGTGAACCATGCTAATGGCAGCTGTATCATAATGGCAAACATCCGTTAATAGCTTTTTTTGGCCTGCCATCTACAGGGGGGAGAGAGCGACTTTAAGTTTAGAGGGACGCCTTGTGTGCGTAGAAACCCATTTTCATTTGTTTAAACCTTTAAAGCTGAAAATTTTATATTAGCCGCTCTTTCTATGCGCATATCTATCCACCCCTCTTCTCACAAACTTTCTCACCAACTTGTACTCGCTTGGTCTTGCAGTTTCAGTTAAACTTGGTCAATGTTAAGCTGTTTTCATTATATCGTGAATTTATATATATAGTCATATTGTAATCGTTTTTTTCATCCACTTTTTGAAGCCTTAACATGGCTCAACCAATTTATGACAGATTATTACCAACATTGGATTATAATTTCAACATTCACAGTTACAACAGTAAATTGGACAAATATGAGACCATTAGTAATGGTAACCATTTTGGTTGCAACAAGTCAATCGGAAGTTTAGTTAAATGTGCTTTTTTGTGTTTCTTGTTGTTTATTGTTTTAACTGATGCTTCACAAAATTCTATTCATGTTGACAACAATTCTTACAAGGATATTGTTATCTCTTTTGATCCTGCCATCTCTACAAACCTTGTTTCAACTCTTCTGGAAAATGTAGAGGAAAAAATTCAACAAGTTTCTGACCATTTATTTACTGCCACCAATCAAAGTTTGTGCTTTGGTGAAGTTATTCTCCTTCTTCCTGACCATTGGTCATCTAAAATAGGCAATCGTCGTCTCAACACTACACGTTCATTTACACCACTTGATACGGATATTTACATAAATTCAAATGGTAAGTTGTCCACATTGACATCAAGTTGTTGACCAGAAACACAGAGTCCAACTTTGAACAGTGAAAATATGGGTTTTATTCAATTTTGAAGCAAAGACTGTAAATGTTGATGATATTGATTGCAATTGGAGAAACACTGGAAAGCAATTTTCCGATGAAGTTCAAGTTTATCTGAATAACAGTTGTAAACATATTTTTACATCTTTTACAAGCTTTTAAAGTATACTTTCAAGATATTCATGTAGATGTTAGAGACATGATAATTTATTACTGAACTTGATCGGTTTTTATAGTTATATTGATTGTACATTGAACATGATTTTAACCCAAATTGTACAATTTCCGTGTTTCATTTACAATAATTATTAGGTATTGTTGCTGAGGGAACAAAAGATTCATGATTGTCCATATAATTTACAGGTTAACATTACTATTTCAAAAAAAGAAACGAAAAAGAAGAATAAAAAAGTTGAATTTCTATGAAATTAAATTAATGATGCCAATTTGAATGAATAGTTGATGAAGTTAATTAGGTTCAAAAAATATCATTTCATTGTCTCTTCATTTCACCAACTTGAAAATTATATCTGAAAACAATAAACCAGAGAGGGTGAGAAAGAAGTATAAATGAATCAATGATTAATTGAATCGAATCCAATTTAAACAGAAAATTTAATCATTTTTTTCTCATCCAATTTCAGGTGAAATGTTTAATGAAGAACCCTTTACCCAGCAATATGGACAGTGTGGAGTCGGTGGTAAATTGATTCACGTATCGAAGGAGGTTTTCCTCAAGAAGGACAATGGCAATGTCGATGTGAAAACAATCTTGCACCAATGGGCAGCTTATCGTTATGGTGTTTTCAGTGAACACGGTTTTCGCAATGACAAGTTTCACCCCGATTATACTGTGGACACCTCTGAACGCCTTATCATGACTTCATGCGCTTCAAATGTTGAAGGTGAAACAATGGACATTATTGTTTCTCCTGTTTCACCATCGGCCGATTGTTTCTCCCGGCCATTAAGTGATTCATTTCCACCCACCAATTCATGCAGCCTATCAACAGCACCTTCAACCATTGTCTCATCTTTAATGTTTTCACCAAGATTATCATCGGTATCAACCTTTTGCTCAGAAGATAATCATGATGCCTTTTCACCAACCAAACAAAATCGCCTCTGTGATGGTAAATCCATCAACGAAGTTATCCGATCTCATCCTGATTTCAGGTAAACATTTCTTTCAATTTCTTTCATTATCAGATATTCCTTTCAATTTAAACAAAACTATGTAACTATTGATTTAACAATCAAACTGTTAACAAACCCTGACATTTCACGATTCGCCATTTATCAAACATTTCATCTGACCTTTGAAATTTACAATCTTAGCCAATACAAATTAATATTTATCAATAGATTGATTTTTCAATTTAACAAACTTGATAAGATAAAATTTGAAAAAAATAATCTCAAATCTATTAATTGCTATTGAATCTTCAAACCAATTTACCTAAATTGAAAGCAACATTGAAAATTTCAAAATCAACTTGAAATTTGCAAAAAAAATGATTCAGTTTTAATCAAATTATGTTAGCAACTGAACATCAAGATTCAATCATCTAAAGGTTCGATTAGTAATTCGATAAAAATTTAGTCTTGAAATCAGTCTAACGGTTAGAAAAGGTTTCATGAAATTTTGGCAAATTTAAATAAAATGAACTGATAAAACTTGAATCAACCATAAAGAACACTTTTCATGATTAAATTAAATTTAATCGTTCTACATTTTAATTTGAATTTTCAACTGTTAAATTGAATGTCAATTTTTGTCCATTTCATTTTGTTTCCAACGATTCCAAGTGAATAATTGATTACATTTGACCACAAAAATTTCAGACTAATAAGGTTAATGATGGACGACAATTATAATTGAACGAGTCCATTGAAGGTTGATAATTAGCAAATAGTCTACTAATTAAAGCAGAATTAAAAAGAGACTGAAAATGGTACAAATGATAAGCCATGAGAAAATAAATTATTACCCATTAATTGTATTCATTTACTGTTTAATTTACTTTCTGTATTGAATGATTTCTGAAAGGTTAAACCATTTCCATGATAATAAAAATGGTGGTCATTTCCATCATTATTCATTTGCATGTCAAAACATTAATTCGTATATCTATCATGATAATAGGTAAAAAAGGTTGATAAATGTATTCATAATTAAAGGTTAAATTGGGTGAAAAGAAAGACATTTTTCAGAGACAATTCAAGTTTGGCTGGAAAACGTTTTTCGGTTGAACTTTCCGATGAACCTTTTCCATATTAATTAACATTGTTGACAGAGTAACATGATGTCCTGATAAACCTGTATCATGTTTCGATAACAGATGAACAGGAACTTATCGAACAATCTTACCATACTTTGTGTTTCCTCTTCTTTATCTTGTTTTACTTTTTGTTAGCCAAACGAGGATTGCATTCAAATGGTTCATTGAAAAGTCTAAATCATGATGATTCCCTATCATGATCCATCATCATTCATCTCTCTTTTCCCCTTAACTTGATTACGATTCTTTGTAGCTTCATTTATCCGTAGAACTTGTAATTTTTGTTCCTTTTTTTCAACCATTTATCTCATTGATTCCAACATGAAACATCTGAAGCAATAAAAAAAAGAAACAGTAAACATTCAGTTTCAATCTAAAACAATTATCATCATGAACTCTTCACCAACCACCTCATCATCTTTTATCAGAATCTTTGCAAATATGAATAAGAAAAAAATTCATAACAATTGTAATACAATTGATGATAAAAGTATTTTGAATTGCAAATATATTTGATCGTCATTTCTCAGCATTTGCTATAAACTAGTTTTCAGCTTCATTTTCCCCTGAAATAAAAAAGCCAAAGATGACAGTCATGAGCCATTCTCAGCATTTACAAGTAAAATATTCAACTTCTCAATAAAATTATTGTTGAAAAAATGATGATAATAATGGCAACATAAATGGATAATGAAAATAATGAAATTTTAATAATAAATTGAAGTCTTTTCAGTATTCCATGTTATTCAAAGCTACTTGAATGAACAAACAAATGAGAGTTCATTTCCCGTTTCCGATGGACTCTTCTAACCCTCTAAGCCTTGCTCCTATTCAGGCGTATTTATTGATGATTCATTTCAATTTAGGTGAAAGCAGAAGAGGTTGAGAAGCGAAGAAGAAGAGAAAAAAAATTGTCAGAAAAAAAAACTTTAACTTCTTGTGTTGATCCTCTGTTTTCATCATAATGCTCATGATGCAAACAGCTTATTGCACTTGACTGAACTTTATCCTTGCACTTAATTTTCTTACGTTTGTGTGTTTTTCATTGCAAGCTTTGGTTAATTGGCAAAATCGCACTTATTCATGTTGGATGTTATTATTTTTATCATTATTATTATAATGTAATATAAGAATCAGAGCTTAAGTAATCATCTAATGACTTGAAATTTCACGCAACATTGCATTTCGCCTTTGCTCTTACATATGAATTTGAACCTTTTCATATTTCTTCCTCCTTCATAATAATCATCACCTAACCCTTTCATACTCTCTGATTGCACCAAATAATAATCATCATCATCACCTGAAACTGTTTGCTATTAAAAGAGCTTGTAAAGTGTTAAACACAAAAACCAAGAAAATGAGTCAAATTAGACGAAATTAATTTACCTTTTGGTTAACCAATTAGTATTTTTAAATTAAAATTCAAGACTTTTCATTTCCGGCAAATTCTCAATTTCCTTGTAATCAATTACATGGAACAAACCTTACATTTGAAAATCAATAACATTTCCGTTTCAATTTTCACTAATTTACATGAATTCGTAAAATCATGTTTCATGGTTAGGAGTGCATTCAAATTTCAACTCTCATCTCAAATTACTCGTGTTTACATGGAGTCGCCTGAATCCAATTTTCCCATCTTCATCAACCATTTTTACATGAAGAAAAAAACGATTCTCTTTTTAGGTCCATTCCTCATTAAGATTGTGTTAATTATACTTCATAATCAAGTAAACACTAAACCATCATCAGGCTGATGGTTTGCTTTTTAATGGTTTCTTGTGTTCCCTTTCACCATGTGATTAATTGTTTCTAATGGTTGATGAGAGTTGTTGTTTTTGTGTTGATGTTGATGTAAAAAAATTGAACAAATTTTTCTCCCTTTTTCTTGACTAGAGCACAACAAAAAACTAGCCTAATGATGATGTTGATGGGAAATGATTAAATGAGTTTTATACTGATTAAAAAGTTATCAAAATGAAACATTAATTTCATGGCATCATTGTTAGCCAACAGTTTAAAGCAATCAATTTAAAGTCACCAAAATGTTACCGTCAAAAAGCTTGTCCAGGGATTGCTTTGAACAAATAAAAAAAGCCGGTTTGCGCCGTTTCTTATATTTTCATTTGTGATTATCAAACTTAACCAAAGATTATTTGAGCAACTTGCAAGGTAAATACAGGTTGATGCAAAAAGCAATGAAAAGTGATCCATTTTATTTGCCAGTAAATGCAACACCTTTTGACATGTAATACCTTTGCCAAACACCTTTAAGACCATCAATAGCACTTTACCTTTTCTCAAATTATTCAAACCAATTTTAAATCACCTTTGAAAAGGTTTTACCTTTTTTATGTCTTTGTTGAGCTAAAAAAGTGAATTTCGCTAATCTCTTTGTTAAGTCGTTCAACTTGTAAAGCTGCAAAAATGTAAATGAAACTGGTTGGAAAAGGCATCAAATTGAATTTTTTTGCCTCAAAATTAAAAATTAAAATCAAAGTTGAACCTTCATTTCAAACATCATTTCAAGCGAGCTTTTAATTTTTGCATTTACAATTAACAAACCATTGAAAATTGGAATCAAATTTTAATCTAATTTAAAAATTTCACCTTTCTCTTTTGGTGCAAATTACCTTTTCAAATTCACAAGTTTTTGGTTTACGTTGTTTTCATTCATTTTTTTGCTGCCAAAAGATTTACTTTTGCTACGAAAACATGATTATTCATTTTATCTGGTTGCAAATGTGAGAGTCGCTGATGTAGCAATTTAATTAACTTGAGTAAACCAATTTCATTCACATTTCCAAAGGTGATAAAGTTGATTCATATTCTTAGCTGAGCAGAAGAGGGAAAAAAAAGTTCTGACAGCTTCAGAAGGCAAAAAACCAAAGCAAGACAAAGAGATGAGTTGTGAAAATAACAATACTTGAGCTTTACTCTTCAGTTTTCATTCTTCCTCATGACACTTTCACTTTCCATTTGCCATTCATTCCTTTTCAGTCTTTTTTTCAAATCATGATTCATCCATGTAAATTGTTTTTGATTATCATTTAACTAGAGTCAACTGAAAGCTAAACTTTCATCTTAAATTCAACTCATCTTATAATCATTACAATCCTGGCAAGAGTAAAAAAAGTCAGTTTCATTTACTTGCAATGTTTACAGAATGAATCTTTCATCTGTATTTGTTCAATTATTTGTTGAAAAAAAAACAATTTACCGATAATTTCAATTAACAAGATTAACTCGAAAGTCAAATACCAATTGTTGATCCATTTTGTCAACATTTCAAGTAAAACAAGAAAACCTTTTGTTTACCTTTTGTTACCTGTTTCTTGCTCATCACTAGGGCAACTCACCCTGAATCATCAAAGAATCCCAACTCTTGAGCCTCAGGCTTTAATCATGAGCCATCAAGTCAACTTGAAATATATCGTATTGATAAATGTATTGTTTTCAGTTTTTCATTTTGTTTTGTTTTCTATCAAAAAAAGTGAAACTTTTCAACATCAGTCAAGCAAAAGGATTGGAATCCTTTTCCTTACCTGGTTTCCCTGTTACACCTTGTATCTTATTAATTTAAAAGTTTCATCATTTCTGCTTTTGTGATGCAAAAATAATAAGAGTGCAAAAATTGAGACTTTTCACCTTCTAAGCACATTACTGAAACCTTGTAAAATGAAGCTTTAAATGAAAGAGTTACTCTTTTGCTTTGTTTTGATCAATGTTCAACTTTGAAAGGTTTATCATGATTCTTGTTCATAGGTTTTCCTTCAGTTGCTCAGATGAATCGATAATGATGAAAAGTTGCTTCAAAAATAATCCCTAATTCAAAATTGTTCATCTTCTTCAATTTACTTTGAAAACTGTTGACAAAACTTTGCTCATGAA